CTGAGCTGCCAGTCACAGCCCTGGGAGGGCGTGGCCTGAGCTGTCAGTCACAGCCCTGGGGGGAGGGCGTGGCCTGAGCTGTCAGTCACAGCCCTGGGGGAGGGCGTGGCCTGAGCTGTCAGTCACAGCCCTGGGGGGAGGGCGTGGCTTGAGCTGTCAGTCACAGCCCTGGGGGGGCGTGGCTTGAGCTGTCAGTCACAGCCCTGGGGGGCGTGGCCTGAGCTGCCAGTCACAGCCCTGGGAGGGCGTGGCCTGAGCTGTCAGTCACAGCCCTGGGGGGAGGGCGTGGCCTGAGCTGTCAGTCACAGCCCTTGTGGGGCGTGGCCTGAGCTGTCAGTCACAGCCCTTGTGGGGCGTGGCCTGAGCTGTCAGTCACAGCCCTGGGGGGAGGGCGTGGCCTGAGCTGTCAGTCAAAGCCCTAGTGGGAGGGCGTGGCCTGAGCTGTCAGTCACAGCCCTGGGGGGAGGGCGTGGCCTGAGCTGTCAGTCACAGCCCTGGGGGAGGGCGTGGCCTGAGCTGTCAGTCAAAGCCCTAGTGGGAGGGCGTGGCCTAAGCTGTCAGTCACAGCCCTGGGGCGAGGGCGTGGCCTGAGCTGTCAGTCAAAGCCCTAGTGGGAGGGCGTGGCCTGAGCTGTCAGTCACAGCCCTGGGGGGAGGGCGTGGCCTGAGCTGTCAGTCACAGCCCTGGGAGGCGTGGCCTGAGCTGCCAGTCACAGCCCTGGGAGGGCGTGGCCTGAGCTGTCAGTCACAGCCCTGGGGGAGGGCGTGGCCTGAGCTGTCAGTCACAGCCCTGGGGGGGCGTGGCTTGAGCTGTCAATCACAGTCCTGGGCGGAGGGCGTGGCCTGAGCTGTCAGTCACAGCCCTGGGGGGCGTGGCCTGAGCTGTCAGTCACAGCCCTGGTGGGAGGGCGTGGCCTTAGCTGTCAGTCACAGCCCTGGGGGGCGTGGCCTGAGCTGCCAGTCACAGCCCTGGGAGGGCGTGGCCTGAGCTGTCAGTCACAGCCCTGGGGGGAGGGCGTGGCCTGAGCTGTCAGTCACAGCCCTTGTGGGGCGTGGCCTGAGCTGTCAGTCACAGCCCTTGTGGGGCGTGGCCTGAGCTGTCAGTCACAGCCCTGGGGGGAGGGCGTGGCCTGAGCTGTCAGTCACAGCCCTGGGGGCGTGGCCTGAGCTGCCAGTCACAGCCCTGGGAGGGCGTGGCCTGAGCTGTCAGTCACAGCCCTGGGGGGAGGGCGTGTCCTGAGCTGTCAGTCACAGCCCTGGGGGGGCGTGGCTTGAGCTGTCAATCACAGTTCTGGGCGGAGGGCGTGGCCTGAGCTGTCAGTCACAGCCCTGGGGGGCGTGGCCTGAGCTGTCAGTCACAGCCCTGTGGGGGGAGGGCGTGGTCTGAGCTGTCAGTCACAGCCCTGGGGGGGCGTGGCCTGAGCTGTCAGTCATAGCACTGGGGGGGCGTGGCCTGAGCTGTCAGTCAAAGCCCTGGGGGGAGGGCGTGGCCTGAGCTGTCAGTCAAAGCCCTAGTGGGAGGGCGTGGCCTAAGCTGTCAGTCACAGCCCTGCGGGGAGGGCGTGGCCTGAGCTGTCAGTCACAGCCCTGGGGGAGGGCGTGGCCTGAGCTGTCAGTCACAGCCCTGGGGGGAGGGCGTGGCCTGAGCTGTCAGTCACAGCCCTGTGAGGGCGTGGCCTGAGCTGTCAGTCACAGCCCTGGGTGGAGGGCGTGGCCTGAGCTGTCAGTCACAGCCATGGGGGGCGTGGCTTGAGCTGTCAATCACAGTCCTGGGCGGAGGGCGTGGCCTGAGCTGTCAGTCACAGCCCTGGGAGGGGCGTTGCCTGACCTGTCAGTCACAGCCCTGGGGGGAGGGCGTGGTCTGAGCTGTCAGTCACAACCCTGGGGGGCGTGGCTTGAGCTGTCAATCACAGTCCTGGGCGGAGGGCGTGGCCTGAGCTGTCAATCACAGCCCTGGGGGAGGGCGTGGCCTGAGGTGTCAGTCACAGCCCTGGGGGGGCGTGGCCTGAGCTGCCAGTCACAGCCCTGGGAGGGCGTGGCCTGAGCTGTCAGTCACAGCACTGGGGGAGGGCGTGGCCTGAGCTGTCAGTCACAGCCCTGGGGGAGGGCGTGGCCTGAGCTGTCAGTCACAGCCCTGTGGGGGCGTGGCTGAGCTGTCAGTCACAGCCCTGGGGGAGGGCGTGGCCTGAGCTGTCAGTCACAGCCCTGGGGGGCGTGGCCTGAGCTGCCAGTCACAGCCCTGGGAGGGCGTGGCCTGAGCTGTCAGTCACAGCACTGGGGTGAGGGCGTGGCCTGAGCTGTCAGTCACAGCCCTGGGGGGAGGGGCGTTGCCTGACCTGTCAGTCACAGCCCTGAGGGGAGGGCGTGGCCTGAGCTGTCAGTCACAGCCCTGGGGGGCGTGACTTGAGCTGTCAATCACAGCCCTGGGGGAGGGCGTGGCCTGAGGTGTCAGTCACAGCCCTGGGGGGCGTGGCCTGAGCTGCCAGTCACAGCCCTGGGAGGGCGTGGCCTGAGCTGTCAGTCACAGCCCTGGGGAGGGCGTGGCCTGAGCTGTCAGTCACAGCCCTGGGGGAGGGCGTGGCCTGAGCTGTCAATCACAGCCCTGGGGGAGGGCGTGGCCTGAGGTGTCAGTCACAGCCCTGGGGGGGCGTGGCCTGAGCTGCCAGTCACAGCCCTGGGAGGGCGTGGCCTGAGCTGTCAGTCACAGCACTGGGGGAGGGCGTGGCCTGAGCTGTCAGTCACAGCCCTGGGGGGTAAGGCGTGGCCTGAGCTGTCAGTCACAGCCCTGGGGGGGCGTGGCTTGAGCTGTCAATCACAGTCCTGGGCGGAGGGCGTGGCCTGAGCTGTCAGTCACAGCCCTGGGAGGGGCGTTGCCTGACCTGTCAGTCACAGCCCTGGGGGGAGGGCGTGGCCTGAGCTGTCAGTCACAGCCCTGGGGGCGTGGCCTGAGCTGTCAGTCACAGCCCTGGGGGCGTGGCCTGAGCTGTCAGTCACAACCCTGGGGGGCGTGGCCTGAGCTGTCAGTCACAGCCCTGGGGGGCGTGTCCTGAGCTGTCAGTCACAGCCCTGGGGGGCGTGGCCTGAGCTGTCAGTCACAGCCCTGGGGGGGGCGTAGCCTGAGCTGTCAGTCACAGCCCTGGGGGGGGCGTGGTCTGAGCTGTCAGTCACAGCCCTGGGGGGAGGGCGTGGCCTGAGCTGTCAGTCACAGCCCTGGGGGGCGTGGCCTGAGCTGTCAGTCACAGCCCTGGGGGGAGGGCGTGGCCTGAGCTGTCAGTCACAGCCGTGGGGGGGCGTGGCCTGACCTGTCAGTCACAGCCCTGGGGGGAGGGCGTGGCCTGAGCTGTCAGTCATAGCCCTGGGGGGAGGGCGTGGCCTGAGCTGTCAGTCACAGCCCTGGGGGGAGGGCGTGGCCTTAGCTGTCAGTCACAGCCCTGGGGGGGCGTGGCTTGAGCTGTCAATCACAGTCCTGGGCGGAGGGCGTGGCCTGAGCTGTCAGTCACAGCCCTGGGGGGCGTGGCTTGAGCTGTCAATCACAGTCCTGGGCGGAGGGCGTTGCCTGAGCTGTCAGTCACAGCCCTGGGGGGAGGGCGTGGCCTGAGCTGTCAGTCACAGCCCTGGGGGGAGGGCGTGGCCTGAGCTGTCAGTCACAGCCCTGGGGGGCGTGGCCTGAGCTGTCAGTCACAACCCTGGGGGGCGTGGCCTGAGCTGTCAGTCACAGCCCTGGGGGGCGTGGCCTGAGCTGTCAGTCACAGCCCTGGGGGGGCGTGGTCTGAGCTGTCAGTCACAGCCCTGGGGGGAGGGCGTGGCCTGAGCTGTCAGTCACAGCCCTGGGGGGAGGGCGTGGCCTGAGCTGTCAGTCACAGCCCTGGGGGGAGGGCGTGGCCTGAGCTGTCAGTCACAGCCCTGGGGGGAGGGCGTGGCCTGAGCTGTCAATCACAGTCCTGGGGGGCGTGGCCTGAGCTGTCAGTCACAGCCCTGGGGGGCGTGGCCTGAGCTGTCAATCACAGCCCTGGGGGCGTGGCCTGAGCTGTCAATCACAGCCCTGGGGGCGTGGCCTGAGCTGTCAGTCACAGGAGGGCTTCAGGGGTTTGTGGCTCTGAAATCCACAACAGTACAACATGTAACATAGTGACCGTCACCAGTTATCACTATATATAATAATATACCGTCATCATAATATATAACAATAATATATAACAATAATATATAACAATAATATATAATAATGTATAACAATGTATAATAATGGTAATAATAACATATAATAATAATATATAATAATAATACATAATTATAATAATAATATAAAGCAATAATAATATACCATAATAATATTATACCATAATAATAATAATGATATTATACGGTAATAATAATATTATACCATAATAATAATGATATTATAATAACAATAATGATATTATAATAATAATGATATTATACCATAATAATAATGATAATAATAATAATAATGATATTATAGCTTAGTAACAATAGTAATAATATTGTGCCATGATAACAGTTACAGTGGTGACAGTGTTGGGCTGTGGTTTCTGGGCTGTGGTTTCTGGGCTGTGCTGTGGGTGGGAACCTGGAGTTTGGAGCCAATGAGATGGAGTGGAACAGCAGAACACGAAGAGCAACACAACCCATTCATCCAGAGCCAGAGCCCGAACCAGAGCCAGAGCCAGAGCCAGAGCCCCGAACCAGAGCCAGAGCCCCGAGCCAGAGCCAGAGCCCCGAGCCAGAGCCCGAGCCAGAGCCCGAGCCCGAGCCCGAGCCAGAGCCCCAGCCCGAGCCCGAGCCAGAGCCCGAGCCCCGAGCCAGAGCCCCGAGCCAGAGCCAGAGCCCCGAGCCAGAGCCAGAGCCAGAGCCCCGAGCCAGAGCCAGAGCCCCGAACCAGAGCCCGAGCCCGAGTCCCGAACCAGAGCCCGAGCCCGAGCCCGAGCCCGAGCCGGGGGCAGCCTGGACACAGCCGGTCAGGGCTCTCCCACTGGGTGGACATGTATTGTTGGGGACACGGGGTGGAGCCCCTCCTGGGGTGCGGGGCAGATGGAGCCCTGGCAGCCCCGGTGGCGATGGACCTGTCGGGGGCGCAGGCGGTGCGGGCGGTGGCTTGCGGAGCCCGACATTGGGTGTTCCTGCTGGGAGACGGGACCCTCCTCTCCCCAGGAGACCACCACCAGCCTGGACAGCTGGGGGGGAGGGCAGTGAGGACATCTGCCACAGGTAAGGGACCCCCTCCCACCCCCATCCCCCATCCCACACACACACACAACTCTCTGGGGGGGGGGGGGGGGGTGAGTGGGGTGGGGTGGGTTTGGGGGAGAAGATACCCACACCCCACACCCCACACCCCAACCCACCCACTTGTTAATGAGTTTTTTAATGTGATTAATGTGGATTTTGGGGCTTGTGGTTCATTGATTGACTTATGAATTTATTTATTTATTGTTGATTTAAAGAGTTGATTTATTATATTAAAAAAAAGCCCCTGATTATTTATTTATTTATTTTTATTGGGGGGTGGAGAGGGTTTAAAACAAATTAATCCCAAACGATATATATGTGTGTGTGTGTGTGGAGAGAGAGGGAGAGAGATAGACAGAGAGAGAGATAGAAAGAATAGAAAGAGAGTGAGAGACATCGTGAGTGTTTTCTGACTTAAGGCACTGGGTGTTGCTGTTGCTGTGTTTTTTGGGGGCATTTTCTTCCCTGGGAGGGGTGGGAATGGGAATGGGGGCAATGTTCCTGACACAAGTCTCCCATCATTGTCCAGGTGTCCAGTGGGGCTCTGTATCTCTGCTCTGGTGGTTGGGTTGTGGTGGTGGTGGTGTTTGGACACTCACTCACACGTTGCACTTTCTTTTCACTCAGTTGTTGTTTCGTTTCCTCTCTCTCTCTCAGTTGGTTTCACTTTCAGGAACAGCCTGGAGGGGTTTTTTCCAGCCCCCACCCCCCCCCCCCCCCCAAAATATATATAACTGGTCATCAGTCTCAACCACCAAGAGAGCAGTCAGGTGTATATATATATATATCAGGTTGTTCTCAGCTTGGTCCCTTACACCCTACACCCCCCCCCACCCCCCACTGCTACCCACTACCATCCCCCCCCACCCCCCCACCCCCCACCGCCACCCCCCCCACCCCCCACTGCCACCCACTGCCAACCCCCACCCCCCCCATCACCCACCGCCACCCCCCCCACCCCCCACTGCCACCCACCGCCACCCCCACCCCCCCCCACCACACACCGCCACCCCCCACCCCCCCCACCACACACCGCCACCCCCCACCCCCCCCCACCACGCACCGCCACACCCCCACCAGAAAAGTGTTATTACCAAACCTAGAAATTGAGGACATTTCGAAGGATTTCGAAGCAGGAGAATGCCACTAAATTCGCAGGTCTCCTTCCTCTGATCCAAACCTAAACTGCTACAACAGCAACCAACCAACCAACCAACCAACCAACCACAACAACAACAACAACAGCTACTACTACTGCGACACCAACAACGAACTACATTTTGTATTGCGCCTTTCACGTCAGGCGTACGGCCCAAGTCCCTGGACAGTCGAGGAGGGTTTAATCAGGAGAAAAGATGTTGCCTTCAGTTTATTGCAGTGACGTTATAGCCTGTTTTTTCTTAAAAAAAAAGAAAACGAAAGCGTCCAATTTGTTGACACGTTCCAAGGCCCTGAACATGTCGGGGATTAGAACCCAAGCTGAGGGTGTGCGTGGGGGGGGTGGAGGGAGGAGTAGTGGGGTGGGATTAGGGAGGGTGGAAGGCAGAGAGGGTACGAGGGTGGCTGAAGGCACGGACAAAGAAGAGGGTCTTGAGGGAATACCTTGAAGGAGGCAACGGAGGGAGCAAAGCGAAGGGAATGTGGGATGGATTTCCAGAGGGTGGGGGCAGAGAGGCTGAAGGCCCGATCGACGATGGTGGGGTGGGCCGGGTGGGGGACATGGAGCAGGCCAGAGCCTGCTGAGCGGAGGGAGAAGACAGGTTGATAAGGGCTTAGCAGATCGGCGAGGTAGGAGGACAAGGATTTTGAACAGAGAGAACACGAGCTACAGAGTTCTGGATGATCTGCAGCTTGTGGAGGGAAGCGTTGGCAAGGCTGACAAGCAGGGAGTTGGCACAGTCAAGCCTGGTTGTAACGAAGGCATGTATGAGAGTTTCGGCGGTCTGCGGGGTCAGGCAGTGGCGGAGCCGGGTGATCTTGCAGAAGTGGGGGAAGGCAGAGCGGATCATGGCATGGATATGGGGGAGAAAGGACAGTTGAGGGTTGAACAACAAGCCCAGGTTCCTGACTGGTTTGGTGAGGTGGAGTGTGCAACCATGGGTGGTGATGCTGTCAGCGCCTGAGACGAGGAGGCACTGATGGGAGCCGATCAGGAGAGCCTCGGACTCATTGACGTTCAACTGTAGAAAGTTGGCTCTCATCCAGGACTTGATGTCAGACAGACATTCTGTCAGGACAGCAGTGGGTCCTGTGGTCGAGGGTGGAGGCAGAGAGGTACAGTTGGGTGTCATCTGCGTACATGTGGAAGTTGACCCCATGTATGTGGATGATGTCACTAAGAGGGAGCATGTACAGGTTGAAGAGGAGATGACCCAGGACAGAGCCCTGAGGAACGTCGCATGAGACGGTGGGGGGGCTGGAGGACAAGCCATTTGTGGAGACAAAGTGGAATCGGTGTGAGAGATAAAGATCTGAACCATTCAAGGACAAAACCTTAAAGGTTGAGGTGAGAGGAGAGGCGGTGGAGGAGGATAGAGTGGTCCACAGTGTCAAAGGAAGGCAGAGGGATCGAGGAGGACGAGGAGACAGAGGGAGCCCTGGTCACAGATTAGACAGAGTGTCATTTGTCACCTTGAGATCCAATTCATCAAATGTTACATCAAATGCTTGATTAATTCCATCAGTCTCCTGATCGAAGCTGCATTACATAGGCAGGATGGGAAGTGTTTTATAGTGAATTCCTTGTCAAGATCAGGGCACCCAATCTCCCACTCGAGATGTTTGACGGTGTGATAAGATGTTAAATGAAAGGATTAATTTTTTCTCTTGCCACATCTGTTGATCCATTAGTCGAAATAGCCCTTCTCTATTAACCCTATCAGATTAATTATAATTTTGAAAACGTCCATTACTCTCTGGTTATTTGCTCCAGATGTTTTTACAGTCGTAATGTTTAAAGTCAAAACTTACATTTTTGATTTTTTGCGATTGCTATTGGTTAATATAGCGCACAATATCGTCTCTACCTGCAGTACACTGATAGGTTTCAAGGGCAGGGGCTCCTATAGTATTTGAAATATATACATTTATTGATCCATTGTCAGTAAGTCGCACTAAGCATGATCAAAATAGGATCACAATTGGTAAACCTCCTCACGTCCATGATTTCTGTAGAGTGTATTGCTTTGGATGCTGATGCTGATCATACATCAGTGCGGTTTTTGTGTAGTGCGGTTCATGAACGTGGAATGACACGGGTCTGCCACTTATTCTTACAGAGCGAATGACGGTGCAAGGTATACCGAAAGTTGCTCGTGTAGCTTGCGGTGAACATCATACCTTGGCTATTTGCGAAAAGGGAAATGTTTTCGCCTGGGGAGCCGGGACCTATGGACAACTGGGCGACGGCAATTGTGAAGTTAGTGTTTCGCTTCCAAGGTACAAATATGAGTTAATTGCCGTCTCTACGTGCTGTTATTTTACCCCAACAATACCCCAATTAGGATTGGTAATTTGCTTCACGGCAAAATTGTCTGCATTGTTTTGCCTACAAAATGCACAGTTCCTACACTTTACCGCAAATCCTATGAAGCACTTTGAGATGTGAAATGCACTGTATCAAATGCAGGTGTTATCGTTATATTGGGAATAAGGGAACAGGAGGTCAATCAGTGGCAGACTTTTAATTCCATTCCCTGCATTTTCTCCATATCCTTTAAGTCTTCACCCCACCAAATCCACCCCCTGCCTTCTGGGCAGTGTATTTCATGTCATTGGTGTGAAGGAGTGTTTTCTGAACTCACTTCTCGGAGTTTCTGTTGCCTTACAGGGAAATAAATTCTTTCGGAGTTCCGATTCAGCAGGTTGCTTGCGGCCATTACCACTCTCTTGCTCTCTGTGAAGGTAATTCATTAATTGTCACCTGAAAGACGACAAGTCGCACGCATTATCGCTGGTCTCCCCACACGAGGTGTAGGGCTCTGCACCCCAGGCCTCTTTCGCATCATGCCCTGCGAGTCCGTCGCCCCGGTCCTCATCCTCCAACAAACCAAACTCAACATCCTCGACCTCGTGTTCGAACCCTCATGGCCTAACCTCTGTGATCAGCAGCAACCCTACCAATCCAGCTCCACGAACCTGTGCCTGCAACATGTCTCCTCCCCCTCCCCCCCACCCCACCACCCCCCCATACTGTCCACCATCAGCGGGCAAGCTTCAAGGCATTCTGCACTCCATTCCAGGAGCCCCTCCGACTGGCCCAGCCCTGCCTCCTCACTTTCATACACCGCCTCCAGATTTATCACTTTGTTCGTGGTTTTGGTCATTTCTCCCTCCACCTTCCACCCCCACAGCCACTCTCCCATACCCCCCTCCCACCCCAAAGGGATGTGAAAGACACAAGGTAAATTGCATTGTCAACCTCTACAAAATGTTTGAATGATGTTTTCCAGATGGCGCACTCTATTCCTGGGGACAGAATAGTTACGGGCAGTTGGGTCTCGGTGGAATGTTTTACTCACAGTTGAGTCCCAACCTCGTGGCGTCTCTGTCGGGGATACCGTTGGCTCAGATCGCTGCCGGAGGAGCGCACAGCTTTGCTTTGTCTCTCTCGGGGGCAGTGTTTAGTTGGGGAAACAACAATTGTGGACAACTGGGGCTCAGCAACACAGAGAGTGAGTAAGACACATTTCGTCAATTCCCTCCCGCCTTCCCTGCTCGGGATGGTTTGGTAGAGCGCAGCGGAGCGCGGAGCAATGCACGTTTCTCTATCTATTGATACTCAACTGTTGATATTTTTTGCAGGACAAGTTACTAATTCCAACAAAATTACTGTTTTGACAGAAACATTTACTCCACGTTCAGTAACTCCACTCAAGCGTCTGAGTCTCAATGTCACGTACATCGCTTGTGGGGGTGAACACACCGCACTGCTGACAAAGGTACGTTTATCACGTACAAAATTCGGCGACAAAATGCACAGTCAATTCAATCTACAGTATATTCCGTGAAGCGCTTTGAGATGTCTCGACGGGGTGATGAAAATAATAATAATAATAATAATAATTCCTGCAATATCAAATGCAAATATTAGTTATTATTTGTCAAAAAGTGTATTGAGATTTGAGTCCCTACTAAGTTAGAAATCTGAACCAAATACTGTGCTTCTAAGATGAGAACAGTTTTGTTTTCCTGCCTTAGCGCAGTAAAGGGTTTCCAGGACGGAGGTCACAAAGCGATTTAGCCTAAAAACGGTGGGTTAAAATCAGCCATTTTACACCAACACGTATCCACAAAAATGGATAGAAAGTACAAGAAGAAAATTCTAAATGGTTCTTCCAGAGTCGGACCCCGTTATGCCATGGACACGGCGGTTCTGTATAGAGCGCACAGTTGCTGAGAGGCAGAAGTTCCCGCTGACTAATTGGACTGTGTGCACATGAGGCTCATGAGTAAAGTGTCTCAGTAACATCAGTGGCAGCATTCATTGCCGACCTAACGATGAGTAAAATACTGACTAGTTAGCTCTCCGCGTACCTCCCACCCGCCAGAAGATAGTGTTGGTTAAGGACTGATAGTCCCACTGAGATTAGAAATGTACTGTTTGGCGAATCACAGAGGACAAGCAACATCCTATTGCTGTTATTTGTGGAGTCCTGAAGCTCAGTGGTTAGAGCACTTGCCTTTGCAAGCGAGACACCTGGGTTCAATTCCAGGCAGAGGGCGAAACCTTGGGCAAGTTTCCTTACTCCACACAGAGCCTAATGATAATCCCTCCAAAACCAAACAATAATAAATTGGTCATTTTCAATCCACGACTGTTTGTGGGACATTGCTGTGCGCAATTGGCTGCCGCGTTCGCCCACAAATATACAGTCAATTCACTTTACAGTGTGTTCTGTGAAGCGCTTTGGGACGTCCTCCTGACGTGAAAAGCGCGATATCAAATGCAAGGATTATTATTATTATTATAACGCTGGGTTATTTGTGCCAATGTACAGTATCTAGGGCCCACCTCCGGTAACCGAAAATTATACATGAGCGCTGAGCTGTTTATCATCTTATTTATTCATCAAATGAAACAAAACCTTGATTCCACAAAAGACTTAGAGCTCATGAAGTTTGAACTGACACTCTGATGCACTGCTGGTGTGTGCTGAATTGATGGATGGTACCGTCCTTTGTTTGAGACATTAAAGCAAGGTTTCGCCTGCCTGTTCAGGTGGACGTTAAAGATCTCATGGCACTATACGAAAAGAGAAGTGAGTTTATTCGGTGTCCTGGCCAACAATCCCCCAAATAAAATTGGTCCTTCACTTTGGACCTATTTGTGGGACACTGCTGTGCGCATATTCGTTTCCGGGTTCACCCACAGAACACACACAGTAACGACACTGTCACACTAGATCTTGAGAAGGATTATACTTTTTCATATCTTTCAGGATGGAAGCATGTTTACATGTGGGAATGGAGAGAATGGACAGCTGGGGTATAATGCTCCAACCAATGCAGTGGTTTTTCAAAGAGTGGAGCGATTACAGGGGGAGGTGTCCCAGATAGCCTGTGGCAGGTAGGTAGTGATGGCTTAGAGGTTGCTTTGGTTGTAGACTGTGACCAACAGGAACACACAACACACATATATTAAAAGGATTGCCGGTAAATACACAGTCACTGGTCCTTGAGAGCAATTACCTGTGAAGCACTTTGAGACGTTCTGACATTATGGGTGCTATATCAAGTGAAAGGTTTATGATTAGAGGTTAATTTGACTAAGAACTCATCTCAAACAATATCACCTGCAACGAGAAAGGCACCGGGACTGAACGCAGTACAGAACGAGGTTCCAAATAAAGAATATGGGAGCCATGAGGACGTAGCGGCAAACCCAAAACATAGCTACCAAAAATTCTTACAATATCATAGCAGTGAGAGGGTAGTCGGGCAAATAAATTAAGGGCCCCAAAGAGGTTTGAAAAAGAGAAGGAAACAGGAGAGAAAGCGAGCGTATTAAACAAATACGTTCCAAGGGCATGGCGTGCACATGGATTCAAGAATTGACTGAAGGGAAGGAGGTTAAGCATAGTTATTAGGGGAGACGGGTCAAAACAGGGGTTGGTGTTAAGTTTTCGGGAATTTATGCTGTGGCCCCTCCTGTTCCTTGTATACATTACTGAGTGCTTGCTAGATAGCAGGGGTGCGTGCGGTCTACGTTATTCAAATGGTCTGACTTGTTTTGTGAATTCTGTTTGTTTAGATGTCATACCCTTGCTTACATTCCATCCCTTGACCGTGTTGTATCGTTTGGCTTTGGAATTCAAGGAGAATTAGAAAATAACTCTCCAAGTGACCATATTCATCCTCTTTCACACCCTCACAGTCGCTGGAGTCCATCTACTACTGGTAATGACACTCAGGGGCAGATACCAGGATGTTTTGGGACGCCTTGGGACGTCCTCCCGACCTGAAAGGCGCTCTTTAAATGGAATCTTGTTGTTGTTGTTGTTTTTCTTTGCTCCAGGGATAATTAAGGATTGTCGCAGGTTGTCAGGAAAGGTGGTTGCGCCAGGACACTGGGACTCAATTAAAAAGTAGCTTGACGCTGTCATGGGAAGACATTAGGATGGGAGTTTTGGAAAGATGAGATCTGATGGGCCAAAAGGCCTTCTGTATGCAAACTAATCCTGTGATCTTGTAGATGTCATGACGACACAGAAGTCAGCCATTTCTGTTGTTGAAACAACAATAAAAGTCAGTAAAAATTGAAAAAACATTTTTTTTTAGATCACAAATAAACCAGTATTATTTGCCCTCAAAAGACACAGTCACTGCACTTTACATTGTATCCTGTGAAGCGCTTTGGGACATCCTCCCAACATGTAAGGCGCTATGCCAAATGTAAGGATTATTATTTAGTCATTATTATCAGTTAGGATCCAAAAAAACAATTTTTTTAAAAAAAAACCTAGTTATAGAGTATGATTGACTGAGGCCTGAGAACAAGACATGTATCTGCCTTCCGATAATAGAGAGATGGGATCAAGAAAAAATTGTGTTACACAAATCTCTGAAAGTACGTTTCATAGTTATCCCACAGTTTTCAAAGATCATGCAACAGTTTTGTTTAACACTACGTCCCAACCATCTTTGAATGTTTTTTTCATGTTGAAATCTGTAATGAATTAAAAGAACGGGATTCATGTTTCCCCGGTTTGATTTGTAGATGTTAGCAAGATTGGGTACATCTTCTTTTATTTGGGATGTTAGTGCCTACAATCTTAAGCTGTGCTTATTGATCTGTTGTTACAAAGAGGTGAACCTTTGCTATATTGGAAGGCAAAATTGGTCATTCATTTCATGACTGCTTCGGGGACAGTCCCATGTGCATTTGGGCTGCATGTTCGCCTACAATCACAGTAAATCATGTGAACCGTTTTGGGTTGTCATTCTGACGTGAAAGGCGCTGTCCCCAATGCAAGGATGCTTATTGTTGTTATTATTATTATTATGGAGAAATTGTTAAGTCAAAGGCTTGCACCTGTTTTTTAAATGCCTTTTTGTTGCAGAGTCAGAAGGTACCAGTGTCATAAGGATTTTTGCAGGAGCAGATGCCAGTTTCATTCAGACCTCCAAATTACAGGTAATAATCTTCGCTGCGTATTGCCTTGGGTTTTAAAATGGCTTTTAACCGATGGTCAGAGACATCGGAGTCCTGTAGCTCAGTGGTTAGAGCACTCGCCTCGCAAGCGAGAGACCTGGCTTGGATTCCCAACAGGTTGAAAAGTTGGCGAGTCTCCTTACTCCACACGCCTCTGTTTACTATCAGTAAGTAGGAACCCGGTTGTTCGTTGATTGGTGGATCACTTTTCTGGGGGTAATAATTCCTTCCAAAAAAAAAATAATAAATTGGTCACTCGATCCAATACTGCTTGTGGGACGCTGTTGTGCGCAATTGGCTGTCGCATTTCTCCCACAAAACAGTCAATTCGCTTTACAGTATATTCTGTGAAGCGCTTTTACACGTCTTGAAGACGTGATAAGGCGCTATTTCAAATGCAACGATTATTATGATTATACTCTATTCTATTGGGTTTTTCTCTGAACCAAATATTCAGTGGAAAGGTGCAGTCAAAGAGGAAAGTCTTGATGGGGCCTTTGAACGTGGGGAAGGAGTGAGGGAATCGGAAGAACTCCGTGATGGAGTATCAGGGAGCAGAATGGGCAGAATGTCTGAAAGCTCTCGCACCATTGGCAGGGGAAGACAGGACGAGGGACATGAGTGAAGTAGTGAGAGAGGGGCAAGGGCAGTATAGGGTTTTACGAGGTTGTGGGAGGTTGAAGATGTGGGGTGGTGTGAGAATGCAAAGGGATCTAAAGGACGTTAAATTTGAATTGCTGGGGGATAAACGAGCCGATGGAACCCAGCTAGGATGGGGGGGATAGGCTCAAAGAGCCTGGACATGGGCTTCAGATTTATGGATAGCCTGAAGTTTGTGTGGGGAAGAGCTGGGAGTCTGGTAAGCAGGGCATTGGTGTAAGTAAGGTGGTTCTATCTGAAGAAGCAGTGGGAAACTTATTAATTACTGTAATGTCTAGTTATTTTATTTGCATTTCAGCCTTCTGTGCCTCCTGATGACTTCCGCTGTGCTGACAGAACACGACAGATTGCCAGAATTGAAGAGACAGTTGTTGATAAATGGCTCTGTGCGGATGATGTAGATAACGCCGAGTGGTTAGTAAATTACAATTTATATTGCTGCTGTTTGTTACCATTCTTAATGCACAGTTTCAGAAATATTCTTCCACATTTTCAAGCACGCGCCATAAAGAAAATTGCTCAAAAGTTTTAGAGAGGTATAAAACGTCCCAATTGTACTTTGGGCTGAAACTTTTTCAGTGTGAGATGTCGGATAACAGTCTCTGTGTGGGTATGTGCGTGTCTGTCTGTCTGGCAGGCAGGCAACAACAACTTGCACTTATATAGCGCCCTCCATGCAGGGTAGCGTCTCAGAGCGCTTAACAGTGGAGGAGCCTGATTCTGAGCTGGGGGTGGGGGTGGGGATGGTGACCATAAGCTCGGTCGAATAGGAAGGTTTTCAGGCGGGACTTGAAAGAGGGGAGAGAGATGGGGCAAGGCGAAGGGATTGAGGGAGAGTGTTCCAGAGTTTTGAGGCGTAGCGGCTGAAAGCGCGACCTCCGATGGTGGGGCGGAGGGTGTGAGGGATGAGGAGGAGCCGGTGCCAGTCGAGCGGAGGTGCTGGGTGGTGAATTGGGGAGTGAGGAGGTCGGAGAGGGAGGGAGGGAGGTGCCAGGGAGTGAAGGGATTTGAACACGAGTGTGAGGATCTTGAAGTCAATCCATTCGGTGATGGGGAGCCAGTGGCACTCACTCAGTCATTGCTTAGTATGTTGGAGTCTTAATTCTCATCATAACTGATCGTCAAAATGTATCACAGAATATCGCATTCTTAAAAGAGGAATATTTTTTACTTACGGTTAATATTCTTTTGTTTTTCCAGCGAGAGTGAGATTGATTTAATATTTTCGTCCTGCTCGTGTCTCATTGCAAGTTTTCTGAAGCAAAGGTGAGTGGAACCGTAAACTGAGATACTAAATCAATTGTAATCAACTGTAAAATACAGCAGCAGACCGTATGATATTCTGGTCCGATATGCATTGCTATCTCTTCCACCCGTGCTTAGACAACCACCAGGGCCTGGAATTTCTCGTGGCCCTCGCGACTTAAAATTTGAGATCATGCAGAATTTGGGTTTTTGAACTTTAGTTTCCTGGAAGCTGCTCGTTGCGGATTAAAGGAGGCTGTTAAGCAGATTTCAGACAAGGCAGCCATGGGAAAATACTGTGTATTTTTCAATAAAAGGAAGTGATTTTTTCGACAGAAGGCTCCCGCCCGCCCCGCCTGCCTGCTAAAGGCTGCTCCAGCAATGTCACTGACTGTGGGTGTCCCCTGCTCTTCCCAGAACAGCTTCAGGAACCAACCCGTAAACTTCAATCCAGGCCGAGAGTTTTCCCAGGTCCCTACCTGTTTGGAAGCCGCATTTTCGAGCCAGCGGCAATGGTTTCCCATCGTTGTCTCTCTTCTGCCAGCAGTAAAGACCAGGAGCCCTGCTTTAAAGATCAGTTGATAGATTAGCATGTCGGTCATACTAAGCTGATTCACTGTAAACGTTTTGCTGTCTCATTTCCTCCCCCTCGTGAAGCAAGTGACGTACGCTGTGGTACAGTTCCGTCGGCTCTGGCAGTTCTCTGACCCAAATAACCCTTGTGCATTTGTGAGCCCGGGAAGTCAGTGCTGGAAGGCAATCGATTGCGGAAGACAAAGCACACTGCTGAACATTGGTCGGGAACAGGAACCTTGGATCATTTACTTCCTTTCTTCTCCCATCCCCAAATCCCGAATGACACATTTTTCTCTGTGTAACTCGTCACAGACCAAGTGACCTAACCCAAAACATACCACGTCAAGTGGTGCTTTCACACCCTTCCCCCCCACCCCCCCCACCCCCACCACCCCGTGTCATCGGGGAAGCAGCTATTAGGTTTGTATCAATGCGGTTTGGAAGCCATCACTTTAGCCGGATAATATTACCGAAAAATGCAGCTCATTGCAAATATCATAATTTTTGGAGATGTGGGAAATGAGAGGTTCCCTATTATTGAATTGTTTGAGAAAACACAGGTCAGCGATGAATGTGATGGGCACTGAAATGAAGGGGATGAGGTCATTGAGCGGGTGATTTTTTTTCTGGAATCGCATTGTCCTCTGTTAACGCTGAATTCGAAAATATTGATGTGTTCCTTTGTTACTTTTTAGTAATGGCGATCATAGCAGAATTGGAAGTGACTGTCTGAGTGTTGATGTTGAAACAGCCAGGAACGTATTTGAGAAACTTACCACAAAGACCTGGATTTCCGAAAGGGTAAATATTCACAGTCAGTTATCTGTTGAGTGGCCAAAACATCCTTGACAAAACATCCGATTACTGCGTTTAGCTTGAACACCTATCACAGTGTGTAAAGTGAATACCTTCGTCAAACTAGGGTCCTTCAGCCTTATTAAGGAGATCCTTTCGAAGGGTCTTGTTGAGGTGTATATAAGGTGCTTCGTGGGATAGAGAGAGTATATTTGGTGCAGTCCTTTACAGTCGCGAGTATCTTATCAGCCTCATTCATTTATTTTTTTCTCTTTTTCAGATAACGTTGAGCTTACAATCAAAGCTGATTCCAAGCCTCAAGACGCTTAGTACCAACAAAGAAGTATTGCTGGTCTACCTGATTCTGTCAGAGTGCCCAGTAATGTGGCGAGAGAGAAACGTGCGGAATCTGGTTCTACCTTTTGCAGCGGCTATAACAAAACTGAATCAGTCTTCATCCACAATTCTGGGTAAGAGCAGCAATAATTGCGGCCGATGTAGGGATGGAAACTCAGGACAAATGTTATAATGATAGCAATCCTCGCATTTGATATAGCGCCATATCACATCTTCGATTTTTGTGGGTGAAATGCGGCAGCACAGCAGCGCACTGCAGCGTCCCCACAAGCAGGTTTGCTTTCGATGCGAAAACATTTTCCTTGCTGATCATGAATACAAACATAGCATGTAACTGTTCATGTTAACAATAAACCAATCTTGCATTTGAAACTCTCAAGTCTAAGCGTCTCAAAGCACTTCACGGATTTTTCTGTAAAATATAGTGACTGTGTATGTCGTGGGTGAACGCAGCTGCCAATTGCACACAACAAGTTCCAACAAACAGCCAAGTGGGGAATGACCAATTTAATCGGAGGATATGTGGCCAGGACACCGGGAGAGATTCCCTTATTGACATTACCCTGAGCAAACCACAGCTGCCCATGTATACCGGAGCAAGTAACAAGGATTTTTCTTTGCTTAATAGGAAAGTGGTGGTCCTTATTGAAAGCATCATTCTTGAACAATCTGGTCCAGAAGTTTAAGGGCATGGTGGTGTTTGTATTATATTACTATGCCCAGTTTAAGGAGTCCCAGCAGGATTTACAAAATGTCCTGAACGTTCTGAAACTATTATACAAGGTAAATATCAGAGGAGCTAAGTATAATTATGTCATTTGTACACGTTTTCTATGAAATTCTGGAATGTATCATATGTTTTTTGTATATGATGGTAAAATTCATTTTAGGCAAATGTCAAGGCCCAGGAGACTATTCCGCTGAACAAGTTCTACATCGATAACCTGTGTTGTTGGGTCAACCTGCATCAGGATGTTTTAAATATGAAATTCTGCAATCGCTCGGTAAGATTCCTGGCAAACTTTCTGATGCTGAAAAACCTTTACAGTCCAGTTGTTGTACATTCCTTATACTGCAATTTGGATCATCCAGACATGGCAAAGCCTTAAATACAGCCATCATTTTGAAGTTGGGTTTTTATAAGTTTCCTTTAAGAACTACAGAAAAAACACCACTTCAAAGTTAAAGCAATTTGCTGATGCTTTGAGCAATTGTGGATGCTACATGACGAGAGTGAATCTAGACCCGGGTGTGATTTCTCCCCTGTAATACCAAGTGATTCAACTGGAGTTTAATCAGTGAGATTCGAGAACTACTGTATTTGTAACAGATGGTAAATTAGCTGCTTCTCACAATGTGAACACATATTGTGGAAACTGGTCAGTAAATTCGACAACAGATTTTATTTGTTTGGCGGACAAACGTGGCATTTTACAACTTCTGCCAATGGCTGTGTCTTCGAGCCTTGTGATGAGTTAATGTGAAGCACGACTATTGAAATATAGGACATATTTCTGGAACGTGATACACTTGTCTGTACAGTTCAGCTGATTTAACCTCTTCAAAGAAGAAATCAAATGGATTCCAATCGTATTCTTAAATTACAGCCCGATGAAGTGAACAAGGAGGAATTTCTGGTTATCTTTTGCCACTATCCATTTATTCTGAATTTGTCAGCCAAGATTCAAGCACTTCACACCTTTGCAGCTTTGAATCAACAGGTAATGCTTTTGCTTTGGACAGAGGACAAATTTAAAGTGTTATTAAGGTAACACCTGAGGAGGTCGCTTTGTGTTACGTAAAACCTGTCATTTCATAACATCGCAAGAAAGGGAGGGATGAAGATAGGCCTTCAAAAAAAAAGACAGTCACTACACTCACCAGTAATTGTTGTGAAGCGCTTTGAGATATTTCAACGTGATTTCAGCTCACCCGCACAAAACTCCGTAACCCCATCCGACCGGTCCTTTCCAGGCGCCCGATTCCCGAATGGATCGATTTCAAGATCCCCTCATTCGTTTTCAAATCCCTTCATGTTCTCGCACCTCCCTACATATCCGATTTGCTTACCCCCCCCAACCCCACTCCCCAACCCGCTGCCTCCGCTCGGTTGGCTCCGGCCCCGTTCGTCCCTCAACCTGTCCGCTCTACCATCGGTGGCCGTGCCTTCAGCCATTACTCTCCGAAACTCTGGAACTCTGTCCCTCGATCCCTCCGCCGAGTTCAATTCCAGGCAGTTCCACGGGCGAAACCTTGGGCAAGTTTCCTTACTCCACACAGAGCCTAATAATAATCCCTCGAAAAAACACAAAACAATAATAAATTGGTCATTTTTAATCCACGACTGTTTGTGGGACATTGCTGTGCGCAATTGGCTGCCGCGTTTCGCTCACAAATATACGGTCAATTCACTTTGCAGTCTAATCTGTGAAGCGCTTTGAGACGTCGAGAAGATGTGAAAAGCGCTATATCAAATGCAAGGATTATTATTATTATAAGATTATCCAAGCCACGCTGAGAATTCCATGCATCCCAACTACACATGGAAATTCCAGAGATATATTGTTGATATTGCAACGCTCCTCACCCCTAAATGTATACCCGGGTTATGACAAAGCGCACGGTGTACTAAGTGGCTTCTGTGTAGATCCTTCTCTGTGTCGTGCAAGTTCCCTCTCTGAGGGAACGCCACTAAATGAGAATTACACGATGTCAGATAATCCCAATACTCCTGGGTAGCTGCTGGAATCCAACGAGCCAAGCCGAGGCTTGCCATTGATATCACTGTCTGGCAAGCCTTCCCACTGCATGTCCAGCTAGAACCACCCTACCTGTTAGGGCTTTGGCTTGCCCAGTGAACCCGAGCATGAGTGTGGTGATTCTCGGACCCCAATTGACTGGTCTGCCCTTCCAAGTCCTGCCGATCGGCCAGGCTGGGCTGTGCTGTCATCAGCAATGCCCCGGAATACTGCGGACCTGCGTGGCTAAAGAACTGAACTATTGATATCGCATGGAGGGCTGGGTGGATTCTGGCATTCTGTTGCCAAACATGTCACCTTTGAGTTGGTTCAGCCCAAGGAGACACTGCTTACCTCCTCTGCCAAGGAGGATAACGTACTGCTTTGGTAGATGGTTACCCGATGCTTAGGTAAGCGGAGACCATCCCTCCAGGGAGAGTATGTGGTTTCCGTTTCAGACACAGGGAACTTTCATGCGTAGGTGGCATACATCTGCAAAACTCTCAGTTGGGTTTGGATGCTCTTGAAGAATTGTCCTGGGTTTCCGCATGTGTCACACACCTGGCTGATTTGCTAAAATAACACAGGTTAACATGGAACTGCTTGGCAGTGAATCTGTTTCGTTGTCTTCCTCCCCCTTGGCTTAGAGCAGAGCAGGGCCTGAACAGAACTAGCAATGTGACAATTTGTTCTTCTGGCACAAATTACTTTCACTGGTATATCTCAAACTAATGCTTGAACATTTTCACTATGTTCACATATCACGTGGTTAAAAAGTTTACTTTTTTATCCCGTGTTAGCATCAGTGATGATTAAACATGTCGACAGTTAAAGGTCACACATTTTGGTAAAATGGCAATTGTTGACGGTGATAGCCGTGTTAATCACGTTGCATCTTTGACCCTGATGTATTAAATGTCTTGCTGTAATCTAATATTTTAATGTCTTTTGTTTAGGAGGCACATTTTCAAGCTGTCTTTTCAGAGGGCAATCCTTCGTTTCCCACATTACCCACATCCCACGAATTGAAGCTGAAGGTTGATCGCAAAACCCTGGTTGCTGACACATTTCAATGGTTGAAAAATGTGGATGACCGTGACCTCCGGAAGAAATTAATGGTGAACAAATCCCTTTCGTAAAATTATTACCAATGGACATAGCTGCAACATTGTTTTCTCAAATCTTTATTGAGCTCCGCAAACAATCGCAGTAAACACTTTCAACAGATCTGAAAATATCGAAAAACTTCTTTGGCCACTTATCATTCATTTTCGTCTCTCCTGGATACAGTTCCACGTTTGCTAGACATTTTACCCCAAGCACAGTCTTGATTTTATACTACACTAACATACGTCATTGTCCAAATTTTCTACTTCACTGACAAGTAACGTGAAGTGAGGGACATCATTGTGAGAGTTGTAGCGGAGCTAAATAAATACTGCATGGGTTTGGTGTAAACAAATTTACATATCTTGTATTGCTTCCTGAACTAATACATCTACGCTCTCCCTCAGCTATAGGGCATAGCTTCATTATTGCACATTTTCACAACTGTTCACCACTTGGAGCCACTTACAGTTTGCCCATTGCTCGGCACAAACAGGTTGTGGCTCTTGGAAACCAACTGTAACCTTGGAATTTGGTAAATGCAGTGTTTGGTTGGTTTCCCTTATTCGCCTCTCCAAACAGACATTTCCACAGAAACTGAACACTCATGGAATTTGACCAGAAATATTCCTCGGAAGCGCCAATAGTGCCAAGGTACCGGTATTTTGATCCCCCCGTTTGCGTAAGTGATTTTCCAGACATATCTTTTACATTTTTTAAAAAATTACTTAGGTGGAATTTAAAGGAGAAGCAGGTGTGGATTATGGAGCTATAAGCAGGGAATTCTTCCTTCTACTTTTTGAAGAGTTGATTCATCCAGATTCAGGAATGTTTATTTCTACCGAACAGTCTACCGGAATCTGGTTTCCTTCACAGGTGAGAGATTTTTAATGGTCATGAAAATGTTATCAGCTTCACTGTTTGCTGTATAAAGCCATTCACCACACTGCATTGTTGTTGCAACTCCTCCTTCCATAGGCTGCAGATCATCCAGAACTCTGCAGCCCGTGTCCTCTCCCGCGCCAGGCTCCACAACCCTATCACCCCCATCCTCGCCCGACTCCACCGGCTTCCCATCACGCAGAGGATACAGTTCAAGATCCTGGTCCTCACCTTCAAAGCCCTCCATGGCCTTGCTCCCCCCTACCTCTGCGACCTCCTAACCCCCTATCATCCTGATCGTTCCCTCCACTCAGCGGGCTCCAGCCTGCTTAATGTCCCCCACCATTGGCGAGCGGGCCTTCTGCCTCTCTGGAACTCCATCCCACAGTCCCTCTGCCTCGTCCCCTCCCTGGCCTCCTTCAGGACCCGTCTCAAGACCCTCCTCTTCGACTGTGCCTTCGGTCACCCTCCTTCCCCCATTGCCCTCCACCCTCCCCGACCCCGAGCTCGGGTCCGAAACACTGATTGTCCAGTGTCTTGGGTTGTGCTTCCAATTAAAGGCGCTACACACATGTAATTTGTTGTTATTGTTGTAACACAACTTGACTAGTTATTGCTCACCATTCACAGTTGTGATTACAGTTGTGTGGTACTGAGTAATTTGAATTCCTTGCCTCACTCCCTTCATCTTGCCCCTCTTTGCCCATCTTCGAATTACACCTGAAGACTTTCGTCTTCAATCCATGCCTTCAGTCACCTCCCCTCCCTTTTCAGCTCAGCGTCAAACCACACCGCTGTTAAGTGCTCTGAGACGCTACTCACGTGAAGAGCCCTATATAAATGCAAGTTGTTTCTGTAGCTCACTTTTGCAAATTGGTGACCCATTTCACTGTTAATTTCTACCCATCTGCAGGTGACAGGGCCCATGGAGAACTACTTCCTGCTGGGAGTAGTCTGCGGCCTTGTTTTGTATAATTTCGGTGTGGTCTACATCCCGTTCCCACTTGCATTGTTCAAGAAGTTGCTGAACGTGAAGCCCATTTTGGAGGATCTGCTTGAGGTGGATCGTGTCTTGCACAAGTAAGTTTATGTGACAGGTTGATTCTGGGCCGAACCATCAGCTCATGTCCCTGGTTGGATGAAAGGGACCGTACGCCAATAGGTAATCATTGGATCATAGCCACTTGAAACCCAGCACTAGATATATATGGAGATTTATCAAAGGCAGAGGACAAGGCCACAAAGCTGTAAGTAAAGCTAATAGGGTCCTAGGTTTTATATATAGGGGCTAAAATACCAAAGCAAAGAAATAATGCTAAAGCTGCGTAAATCACGGGTTAGGCCACGGTATGCCTATACTTTCCAGTCCTGAGCTCACTACTTTAGGAAGGACACCAATGTCATACAGAGGGTATAGGTATTTTCACGTGATCGGAGAAGGTTGACAGGAGACCCGATTTAGACTTAATCCAAATTTTGAACATTTTTGACGAAACGAATAGGGAGACATTTTCCACTGTTCAGTGAGTCGGTAACCAGAGGACACACATTTAAGATTCCCAAAGAAACAAAGGAAGAGATGTGGATAATTTGTTTTGTACAAGGATTATTAGGATATGGAGCTCTACTAAAAAAAACAATGTTGAACCAGAATCCGCAGTCACTTTTGAAAAGCGAGCGCGGGGGGAAAAGGCAAGAAAATGAGACTGAACAGATAGCAATTACCGGATGAACTGGTACAGTTGCGATGAGCCTTTTCCTATAACAGTCACAATGATTTCTATTGAAATTTAGCACCCAATCGGGCAAACGAAGCACAAGAAAACTAAACATGTCCTTCAAATTTTCGTACCCGAAATCTATCGGCCGCGACGCACTGGTATCTCCGAAGTTTCATAATCGCGGTTCTCCCTTGCTCTGTGTTGCGGTTATCACTGCTCGTTCAGCAGAGGTCCTGTGTGTCAGTGGAAAGCAGGAAATACAGTGTGCTTATCCACAAGTCAACCTGTTGGTTGTATTTAACCATCAGCAAGTTTAGCGTACATTCAAAAATGATCAAATCCACCTCCCAACCCGTCTTTCCTCTTCTCCTCACCTTTCCTCCTTCTTCCCACTCCTATTTTGCTGAATTATGCATCGCAAGATCTTATTTGCATTATCGTTTGCTACTAGGTCTCTGCAATACATTTTGGACTACAAATATAACCTGGAGGAAAATCTTCTTCTTGATTTTTCTGTAAGTACAACTTAATTTCTTTTAGGGCAAACTTTGCTGAGTAAAGGGTACAATATAATAATTAATCCCAAAGATTCATTTTAATTTTAACTACATTCTGTGCAAACTATAAAAAGGTCTGTGGTAAAGGCACGAGAATGGGATCAAATGGATGGCTCTTTCAAAGAACCACACAGGTGCAGTGGGCAAATGGTCAGGGTGAAAGTTTAGTCAAGTTTGTTTACTCCACACGCCTCTATTTACCTTAGCAGTAAGTAGCAACCGGGATGCTAATCGATTGGCGGATCGCTTTCCGGGGCTCAAAAAATAATTTGGTCGCTCAATTGACTGCTGCATTTTGCCACAAAATACAGTTAATCCACTTCACAATATAATCCGTGAAGCGCTTTGGGACGTCTGAACGACATGATACAGGTTTTGTTTCAGAAAGCTATATGACCTGAGGGCAGGGGTATCGAGGTCTTTAAAGCCTCAGAAACAAGCTTCGCCCCTGTTTTTTTTTCCCTCTGAGCTTCTGCTTTCACTGAGCTGTCATTATGAGCACTCACTCTCACAGCTCCCACTGATCCACCATTATTGAGGCAGATCTTCAACAAAAACATTATAGGGGACCCACATTTTGGGATTGCCCCCCTTCAATCGCAGGCCTCAAGTTCAACAAGCCAACTAATTAAAGAATTACTGGTGATCCCCAAGCCATCTTCCGTACAAACCTTAACTAAACTTAACCCTTTGCATAAGGTTTTATGCAGGTCTTTTAAATATGATTTGTTCGTACAATGTTGGATTTATACAATGTGGTGTATATCCTGTATACATCTGATTCAGTAACCGACTGCCTTCAATGCAGATTCATTGGGACAACCAGCAAGTGGAACTGATTCCAAATGGTAAAGAAACCCGTGTGAATGTTGGAAACAGGTGAGGTTTCTAATGTACAAGAGGAGTTTAAAAAGTTGCTATTCACAGCTTCCTTCTTCTCCCACTGCCCCCCTCAGTTATCTGCAACCTCGAGCCTGAAAGTACGGGTGAATTGTTCACTCACTCCATGGCTGTTTGTGGGACATTGCTGTGGGCAAACTGGCTGCTGTGTTTCGCCCACAAAATACACAGTCGATACGCTTTGTAGTATATTCTGTGGAGTGCTTTGAGACATGTTCATGATGTGATACGGTGTTATATCAAACACAAGGATTATTATTTTTATTGTTATGCTATATGCTGCATCTTCTGATGAGCAAGCAGGTCAACATTGACTTACCTGCTTGTGTCCGAATAGATGTGTTTTTTCCGGTGTTCTGGCCAACAGACCCCCAGCTAAATTGTAGATTAGTGATTACATCAGATTTTTTTGTTTTTCTTTACAATTCATACAAGTTTGCCTGCGACTCGGACTTTGCGTAAGTCATGTTAAATGTTTTGATGCGAGTTTTATTGTATCTCAGGGAGAGATTTGTTGCAGCCTACGTGGATTACATATTCAAGAAATCAGTGGAAGGCCCCTTTGGTAACTTCAAAAGAGGGTTCTACAAGGTTTGTGCCGAGGAGATAGTACGCTTCTTCCAGCCCCAGGAGTTGATGGATTTGCTGATTGGGACTGATGACTACGACTGGAAAACCCTGGAAAATGTACGATAACTAGTGTTTTGTCATGATTCTAGTTGGTGTGGTTTCAATATTTGTTTACCAGGTATTCTTTGTGGCTCTCTGCAGCTGCAGAAAGGGGTCAAAAATTCGATTTTATTTTATCAGCGGTCAATCATGTTACCTTGTCACATAGTCTTTCAATGTGGCTTTTCACCTGATCTAGAGTTATCATTGGGATTTCCTCTGTATAGACATTCCTCGGTTGCTCTTCGGTGAGAACACAAGGATAAATATTGGTAATAAAAAATCAAATTCAAAAAGCGAGAGATGATTTTATTAGAGTTGGCGCAGGTATAAAAATAATTTGCACAATTGTTTTAAATGTAAGCCCATCTCTGATAACTTCCTCTTTGACTCTATTCTGTGTCTTTATAATAAGCGAATTTGCATTTTATGCAATAGGTCACAACGTATAAAGGTATCTACAACAGATCACACCCAACCATTGAAATGTTCTGGGAGGTGTTCCACAAGCTGCCTTTGGAGGAAAAGAAATTATTTCTCCGTAAGTATTTCACTAGTCCAGAATTATTTGTGGAGTCCCATAGCTCAGTGGTTAGCAGTCTTGTCTCGCAAGCGAGAAGACCTGGGTTCGATTCCCCGGTGAAGCAAAACCTTGGGCAAGTTTCCTTACTCCACACGTCTGATAATTATATCTCAAGAATAAAAAACATAAGAAATTGGTCGCTTCAATCTGTGACTGTTTGTGGGACACTGCTGTGCGCAATTGGCTGCTGTGTTTCACTAACAAATAGACAGTCAATTCACTTTACAGCATATTCTGTGAAGCGCTTTGAGACGGCTCGAAGACTTGAAAAGTGCTATAACAAATGCAAGGATTATTATTATTATTAAAGTTTCCTTACTACACCCCTCTGTTTACCAAGCAGTAAGTAGGATCCCAGTTGTCAGTCAATTGGCAGGTTGCTTTTCAAGGGTAATAACCCATCCCAAAAAAATTGTCACTCAATCCACGACTGTTTGTGGGACACTGCTGTGCACAATTAGTTGCTGCGTTTCGTCCACAAAATACAGTCAATCCACTTCGCAACCTATTCTGGGAAGCACGTTAAGACGTCTCAACGATGTGATAAAGCACTATATCAAATGCGAGGATTATTATTATTATTGGAAGATTAAGGCATAAAAAGATAATTCCATTACAAAATCCTAGAGCAAATGTTTAGTGAATTTTCCCTCTTACTGTCCCAACTCGGAACCCACAATCTTCTGACTCAGGCGAGAGCGAGCAAGGTGGTCGCACTAGATAAGCAGTTAATTTCATCTATTTATATTGTTTGCTTTTTTTGCTTTTATTTCTCCCACTTTGTTGGTCAACTGTCTTATCTTCTTAAGCATGGTGATGGGTTTACGCATATATCAGACACCCGGCCCACCCTCTCCCCACAAAAAAATACTATTAATAATCCTTGCACTTGATATAGCGCCCTATCACGTCTTTGAGACATCTCAAAGGGCTCCACAGAATATACTGTAAACTGAAATGACTGTGCATTGTGTGAGCGAAATGCGGCAGCCAATTGCGCACAGCAGCGTCCCACAAACAGCTGTGGATTGAGTGACCGCATTAGTATTTTTTTTTACACGAGATTATTACCCCTGGAAAAGCGTCCGTCAATCGACTGACCCCCGGGTTCCTGCTTACCGCCAGGTAAACAGTGGCGCGTGGAGTAAGGAGACTTGCCAAACGTTTCACTCTGCCATATATTAAAGGACATTTCCCCGTTTTCTTCCACTTCTCTTCCCCGTTGACTGAGCCGACCAAAGCCACCAGCAAGGGCAAATGTCAAATAGAAACTCAAGCAGCGGGCTACCGGCTGCCAAGGAAGCATCACTTTGCACGGTAGCTTACTGGACCAGTTGTGTTTCCTCCCCTCTTCTCAATACTGTATGTAACATCTTTAGGTGTGATTTCAACTACAATCCCGCGCAGTGTAACGCATTGTGCTTTCCAGGGTTTCTCGTCGGAACCGATCGCATTCCTGTGTCCGGGATGAGCAGCTTGAAAATATCCATCAGCTCGTTGTGGTCAATGACTGAAAATCACTTTCCAGTGGCAAACACGTGCTTTCTTACCCTCTTCCTTCCCGCGTACACCAGTGTCAAATCTCTCAGAGAGAAACTGGTGATAGCTATTAAATGTACCCGTGGTTTTGGCTTAACATGATAAAGAAAACAATTAAATTGGAATCGCATTTTCTTGTGGCTAAACGTATTTGACTGAACTTCAACTTGGCTGAAACCAATTATGAGTTACTTAATATCACGGGAGAGGTTTTTAATGAAATATATTCGTAATGAATGACTACTTTTGTTCGATCTGTTCGGTTTTGTTAAGAATTTTGGCAAATTTCCTTGAAGAAAAATAAAACAATTCTTGCAGTGTGAGTGTTTGAAATGTACTGTAGTGCAAACACACAAACACACACCCATGACCGTTGAGTTGTAAATTCTACAGCAACAAAATTACATTTGTATAGAGTCTTTCACGTCGGGAGGACGTCCCAAGGCGCTGTAAACTTCAGGTCCAACTATCTGTGGATTTTAATGATCTAAAAATAAAGTATTCTTCAAAGAGCAGCTTCAAAGTTGATAACAGTTTAGAAAAGCGTCCCAAAGAGCTGATCAAAGCCTCCGAAAAGCTTTTTTTTCAATAAAGAGCAAATGGTTGTCCCAAAGCCGGTTGGAAGTTATCGACTGAAATTTCACCGTTTGATTACGGATTTTATGTGCCGTATTGAATTCGAGATGAAATGTTGAAAATTTGACCTTTGAGTGATAATAGGGTGAAAAATGAGACAATATCCTTATTATCATCAGTGAAACGCAAGTGGTAGACAAGGGGAGGGAAGAGCAAGGTATATGTACTCAACACTGAACCAGGGAAAGACGATAGCAATGCTTAACAGTCCCTCCATTTTGCATATCACAACGGGAGGATGTCGCCAAGCACTTCACAAGAGTATACTTTAAGGTGTAATGACTGTATTTTGTCAGCGAATACAGAAGGCAGCACAGCAATTTGTGCACAGCAATGACACCCAATTTAGTTTTTGAGGGGGGTGGGTGTGTGCACCAGGATACCAGTAGAACTTCCCTTCTCTTTTCAAATAGTGCCGTTGAATTTTTATCTTCTACCTGAACAGGCAAACGGGCCCTTGGTTTGTCTCATCTGAAGGATGACAGCTCCCCCAATACAGCACTACCCCCCCCCCCCACCCCCGGTACTGCAATGGAGTGTCAGCCTATATGAGTTCAACATGGGGCTTGAACCTACAATCCTCTGATTCAGAAGCGAGAGTGCTCCCAGGAAAACAAGAGCTATTCCGGGAAATTATTAAGAAAGACGAGTTTCCTCATGTACAGAAAGCAGCGATTAACCAGCAACACCCTTTATATGAAGCATCTTGTTAATTCCAAAAGCCTTGCTTGCTCTTCCCACTTAAAAACTTTGCTTTGAACGTTGCCTTTGGTCAACGCCCTCACACCTCACTGCTCCGCGATCCGTGATGGAAGGTGCTCTGTAAAGGCAAGTCGTGGTAGGGATTCAAGCGATCAAGAAAATGGGAGCCGAGGAAATTGGTTTTCGTGCACAGCGTGGCATGCCCTGCAGGAAGCGATGGTTGAGCCAGAATCCCTATTAGCTTTCAAAAGGGAACTAGATAAAGGATTGCTCTTTAAAAAAGAGCCAGCATAGACACAGTGGGTTTCTTTTGTGCTGTCGATATCTGTGGTTTCAATCCATGGGAATTTCCATGTGTAGGTGAGTGAGATTGCATGGAATTCTCCGATTTGGAAATTCTTAATCGTGGTGATGAGTTTCCACATGACGTCAAGGGTGGAGGCAGAGAGATAGAGTTGGGTGTCATCCGCATACATGTGGAAGTTGACCCTGTGTCTGCGGATGATGTCACCAAGACGGAGCATATAGGTATTGAAGAGGAGGGGACCAAGGACAGACCCCTGAGGAACACTGCATGAGACGGTGCGGGGGCTAGAGGAGAAACCGTTTGTGGAGATGAAGTGGAGACGGTGTGAGAGGTAGATGGGAAGCAACAACTCGTTCCAGGACCTTGGAGAGGAAAGGGAGTTTGGAGATGGGGCGGTAGTTTGAGATCAGGAATGGGTCCAGGGTTTTTTTTTAAGAATATTTAAAGGAGCCATTTTTAATGGGGTGGGAATGGTGCCAGTCGATAGGGAGAGGTTTATGATGCTGTGAGTAGACGGGCAAGGAGGTGCAGCTGGGAGGTGAGGAGAGGGGCAGGGATGGGTTGAGGGAGCAGGTGGTCGGTTTCGTGCAGGTTATAGTGGGGGCGATAGAGGATTGAGAGACAGGTTTGAAGGTGTGGAGGGACAACAAGACAGTTGGCTTTACTATGCCCACTCTCTGCTCGCCAGACCACCCAAGTCTTCCCTTCACAAGCTGCAGACTATCTAGAACTATACAGCTTGTTTTTTTCCTTTCCTGCACTAAGCTTTGTATCAATCCTGCCCTCAGTCGGTTCCACTGTTTCCCTATCCCCAGCAGATCAAGTTCAAGATCCTTGTCCTTACCTTTAAATCCCTTCAGGCTGGGTTTCCGCATGTGTTAGACACCTGGTCTACTGTAGCTCAGTGACCTTCTCATACCATCAAACCCAGCTTCTCTCTCTCTCTCTGTTCAGTAGGCACTGGTCTGCTTCACACACCGCGCCCCAACATCAGCGGCATCAACCTATCTGCCCCTGCCTCGCTTCCCCCCTCGCCTCCTTCAAGGCCGGTCTCAAGACCTACTTCTCTTTGATCGTGCCTTCGGTCACCCTCCCACCTCTCTGCCTTCCCTCACCCCTACCCCACCCCTCCCCCATGCTCGGGCCCCAACACCCGACTGTCCAGCGCTTTGGGATGTCCACCCGATATGAAAGGTGCTCCATAAATGTAATTTGTTGTTGCTCTCTGGAACTCCATCCTGCAGTCCCTATGATTCACCTCTTCCATCACCCGCCTCAAAACCTTCCTCTTCGATTTCGCCTTCTTGTCATCTTCCACCCCCCCCCCCCCCCCACCCACAGACCCCCATACACAGCTCGGGAGCTGACTCATGTGCTCCTTGGGATTTTCTCCTAATGTGAAAGGCGTAAATTTTGTAAATGTAAATGAATACATGTCTTATTTGCTGTTGTCACTGTTTGTATTCTCAAGTCATCCTGATAGCCAGAAACAACAACAACAACAAGATTCCATTTATAGAGCGCCTTTCACGTCGGGAGGACGTCCCGAGGCACTGTACACTTGGGTCAGAAAGCAGCGACACCCTGATTGTGAAGGATTTCTTGTTTAATCCAAAGGTCTTGTTTATCTGTCCCACTTAAAAGCTCATCTATTTGATCAACCCTTTGTCAACAGCCTCAAATTCATCATTTCCTCTCTCTATAGCAATCCTGCATGAAAGCTGATAAGGAAGGGCTGTGGTCTAGTCCTTCCTGTTTATATTGATACTGCCAAGTGCACTGCTGCCAGAGAGCTGTCAGAGTGAGGAAAGGAAACCGAAACTAAAACAAAGAACTGAATTTCAAACTGACTTACTTGATATAACATTTCAAACGTACAGTACTTTGCTGCAGTAGTTGATTGCGTCAGACATGAGCAGAGTAAACACAATACAGGCCCTGCAGTGTTTATAAATGAAAAGTATGAACCGTGTAACATTGCAGCTTTTCTTACACATGGTATTGTTTTGTATTAGTCAGAACTTCCCCCTTTACCAAACAGTGAAGTTGATTTTTCCAAAAGTGTCCTATAGATAAAAAGAAACCACATTAGGGTCTAAGGAGTGGTTTCAAGTATTAAAAAGGAACTTGCCGTATAATAATAATCCTTACATTTGGTATAGCGCCTTTCACATTGAGTGAACGTCTCAAAGTGCTTTGTGGGTGAATACGGTACCCAATCTGCACACAGCAATATCCCACAAATGGTTATGAAGTGAATGACCAATTTTATTTGAGGGATTGTTGGCCAGGACAGTGGGAGAGAGAAACTCCCTTCTCTTTTCCAATAGTGCCTTGGGATCTCTAACATGCGCACGAACAGGTAGACAGGACCATGGTTTAACGTCTCATCCGACTCATGGCACCTCTGACAATGCAGCATCGTGGCGGAAACAGCAACCCTCCTCCCTCTGACATCTCGGGTCAGTCCTGATCCACGTGTAAGGAATTTCTGAACTTAAACCACATATCGCTGCCCATTAATAATAATAAACTCCCAATAATATATTGGAATAAAGTGTCCAACCAGCCCTGCCAGCTAAACTCTAATTCAGGGGCATCAAAGAACTGGCCGGTCGAACACTCGCATTAGTCCAGGCCAATCAATACCGCGATACCAATGGCCATCAACGAAGAAAAAAATCCCAAAGGAAAATGGATTTGGCGGGCTGACCAAAGAAGGTCAACCACCACTGGTGTAAAGCTGACTCTCCAATGCGGTGTTGGAGGTGGTAGACTTCGGATGAGACTCTAAACCCACATTCCGTCTGCCCCTTCAGATGGATGTTAAAGATCCCATGGCACCGCTCAAAAAGAGAAGAGAGTTTCTCTTTGTGTCCTGGCCAAATAAAATTGGTTAAATAAAATAAAATTGGTCACTCACTCCGCGGTTGTGGGATATTGCTTTGCATAAATTGACGTTTGCAACCCCCCCAACCCCCCACCCACCCCCACCACCCCACCACCCACCACAGAAAAAAAATTGCTGCACTTAACGGTATATGCTGTAAAGTGCTTTGAGGCATCCTCCTGACTTGAAGCTACATGAGTTGTAAAAATTATTATTATCATTGAAACAAGGCTGGCCAGCTGGCTACACTGCACTGGAAATTGAAACTGCTGTAATTCCTGATCAATAACTGAGAAAATGAAACTCTCTTCGAGCCTTTCAATCGGAATCGTTTCCCGTGAAAAACACACCTTCAGCTGTTATCTAAAACTACTTAAATCCTGGTGGCGAATCAGTGGGGTGACATCTTCAGGGAATATTCCTCCCGTTCTAGCCGTTCGTGTTTTATTGCTTGCTTGGGCTTCAATATCAGCAAACCCCAAGGCGGGGTCAGAGTTAGGGAAATTCCTGTTTAACATGGAAACTCTGCAGCAAGCTCTGCAAAATCTCTGTCTCATTGTCAAAGCAGTTGCTTGAGCGCAGTTGCTTGTCAACACTTGACCCCAGATTTTTGGGGGTCACGTGCAGTAAAACCCATCACCGCGCTTAAGAGTCTCCAAACCAAGCTGAGAATTCCATTAAACAAAAGGCAAAGCACTGCAGACGGCTGCCAATCCGAAATAAAGATCAGCAGCCGCTGGGAACACGCAGCAGGTCAAGCGGGGTCTATGGAGAGAGGAAAATGAGTTCACGTCTCAGGTCGGTAACCTGACGAAAGGTGATCGACCTGAAACGTCAACTCATTTTCCTCTTTCCATACCTGCCACTTGACCTGCTGCGTGTCCCCAGCGACTCCTGCTTTTATTTGGGAATTCCATGCCTCCCTCCGACACGTGGAAATCCCAGAGATAGATCGTTGGAATGGTATGGGTTGCATCCGGCTCACCTAATCTCGGAAAGTATTAGGCGCAGCTTTGGACGGGAGCCAAGGCTTGGGGGAGTGGGGGGGAAGCCCGGAGTGTGCGTTGGGGGTAACTGCTGGAGTCTGACCAGTTAAAACCACACATAGCTTGGCCATTGGTATCGCTGTCTGGCCAAGCTTTCCCGCTGCTTGTCCAGTCAGGACCACCCTCCCCAGTTAGGGCTTTGGCTTCCAGGGTTAACAGGAGCTGAGTGGGAGGTGAAGTAAGGCTGGAGCAGAGCAGGAGCGTGGTCAGCTGGCTTGCTGACAAGTCTGACTCATGCGAATGACTGAGGTTGTGGTTTCAGTTTCCTGATCTCATACTGCAGTAGCTTTGAATCTGTTTTTTTTTTATTTTGATATCTGCCTGAGTTTCTGTTTTGTCCTCCTGTACTTCAGCCAATCCTACCGCTCGCACGCGCACACAGAACCTGGTAAAAAGGGGACAGGTTGGGAGGAGTCCCTGGTCTACACGTCACTTGGTTTTGAAGGAGGAGGAGAGTTGGCAGCTCAGCAGAGCACTGATGTGTCTGGGCTGCTTCAATCAGAGTCTTCAGTAGTGGAGCAGCACAGAGCAGGAGACAGAGATCAGCTGAGACACAGACACAGAGAAAGTGAGAGACACAGAGATACACACAGAGAAAGGGACAGAGACACAGGGAGAGACACAGAGAGAGGGAGGGAGAGGGACCCAGGCAGACAGAGGGAGAGGGCAGCATGTTGTGCTGGGGGCAGGTGGGCTGCAAACAGCTGGGTCTAACCCCTGGGCAGTACGGGGTGAGTTCAGAAGCCACTCACAGCGATAGGCTTCTCAAACACGGGAGGGTTCGGCACATTTGCTGCGGAGACGGAATCACTGTGTTCGTGTTCGTGGATAGGAAGGTTCTCTATACAATGAGCGGCCAGAAGCAGAGGAAACTTGGTAAGTAAATGACATCCAGACCTGCAAGTCAGGGGACGGTAAGAAACTTCGACTTCATGTCTTGGTGGTCAAACATTTTGTTCTTTGATTTATTTATTGATTTATTGATTGATTGATTTATTGATCTACAGACAGTGAATAAAATATCTAAGTCTTGCAGAGGCATCTGCACATCTCTTTTACAAATATTTATTACGAATAGTTTTGGGACGTGAATAGAAAAGGCTGATTTCCCTCAGGAATTTGTTGGTAGCTTTCTCTTAGTATATTTATCAATAGTATATGAATAAAAAAATAACCAAATCGTACAGGTATGTTTAATAACTTATTTCTGGACAGTCAATAAGTTAAATGTCTAAATTATAGTTGTCTGGGAAATCTCTTGATATTTCCCGCTACATTGTGTAGACAGAAAAGTGAATTAAAAGAAACATATTACATGGATTTGAACTCTGGATATTTTTAATTTGACTAATCCTGTACTTGACATTGGGCTCTTGCTCCGACAATACTGTACTACCCGTTTAAATAGGGATAAAGTTCACTTTGATTTCACTACTTCCTCTCTTTTTTTTACATTGCTTTCTCCCGCACCAGACCCCGCGACCCTATCACCCCCACCCTCGCCCGACTCCACCGGCTTCCCATCACACAGAGGATACAGTTCAAGATCCTGGTCCTCACCTTCAAAGCCGTCCATGGCCTTGCTCCCCCCTACCTCTCTGACCTCCTAATCCCTTACCAACCCGCCCGCTCCTCCGCTCAGCCGGCTCCGGTCTGCTTCACATCCCCCGCCTCGCCCGTCCCACCACTGACGGGCAGGCCTTCAGCCACTCTGCCCCCATCCTCTGGAACTCCATCCCGCAGTCCCTCTGCCTCGCTCCCTCCCTAGCCTCCTTCAAGACCCGCTTCGGTCACCCTCCTTCCCCCCCTGCCCTCCACCCTCCCCGATCCCGACCCCTAGCTCGGGTCCAAAACATTGATTGCCCAGCACCTTGGGACGTCCTCTCGACATGAAAGGCGCTCTTACAACTGTTGTTTGGTTTCACAGCGATAGATACTGAACAGCACAGCTCGCTCAATTACTGAGTCCAGCCCTCAATACATACAAAATAGCAGATAGCAAGCAGAATGATCAAGGCTTGGTTCAAAAACAAATTTGCATGGTTAGCCCCGATGTTAGTGTACATTGTTAACGCCAGTGTTGCTGTTAGTGTATTGTTAACCGCTGTGTTACTGTTAGTGTATTGTTAACTCCTGTGTTACTGTTAGTGTACATTGTGAATTTCTGTGTTACCGTATATTGTTAACTCATGTGTAACCGATAGTGTGCGTTAGTGGCTCCTGCGTAACCCTTTGGCTGTTGAGGGCAATTGCAGCTCCTCAAAGTCTGTCTCACCGGAGATCAGCCAACTCAGCACAGACTCTGGTTCTGTGCCTTCCCAGTCCACTGCTGGATTGAATGGTTCCTTTGCCCACTAGGCCATTTGTGAATTCTGATATTAAAATCTGCTGAAGTCAGGTCTGGCCAGATTTACTGTATCAGGGAGGGTTGGAGAGAGGGGAAGGAGAATGAAAAATTCAGCTGAGAGTGAATTGATCCCTGTAATTATTCCAGAAATCGAGTCTACTTGTTTACCTTTCCCAACTTGGTAACAGCATTCTATAAAACAATGCCAAGTACATTAACCTTAGTAAGAGCGCGTTATCTCTGCGGATGTAGGTTGCTTAGACTCTATTCATTCTTGTATACCAATGCTTTAATTATTTTCTTTACGTGTAGGGTACATTAATGAATTCAAGAAGGAGAGGATTCACTTTGTGGACAGCGAAGCATCCCGTGTCGTGTTTATCACTGAAGGAGGAAATATCTTTTCTTGGACACTTAAAGAGAATCGAGGAGTGACTTCAAAAGAATTGCGCCTGACAAAGCCAGAGTAAGAGTTTTAATAATCCCTTGGAATATTACATGATAAAATGACTTGCTGTGTGCAAATTGGCTGCTGTGTTCTAGGATAAAATATACCCAGTCACACGATTTTGCAGTATATGCACTTCAAGATGTCTCGACGACGTGCTAAGGTACTATATTAATGCATTATTGTTATTATTATTATTATTATGATATTAAAACATCTCAAACTGCTTTGCAGGATTTACTGGAAAGTGTAGTCACTAATTGTAGACAAATGCAGCAGCCAATTTGCATACATGCAATATCCCCACAAACAGCCACCATCAATTTATCTGGAGGTTCGTTGGCCAGGAGATCGGGAAAAAAACTTGTCCTTTTGAAAAGTACCACTTGATGTTTAGTGTCTACCAGAACAGGAAGACTGGACCTTGGTTAACATTTCATTAGGAGGTCACTTCTCCCGACAATACAGCTACGCCCAGCACTGCAATGGAGTGTCAATCTCATCCTAAAATGAGGCTTGAACCCCCAATCTTCTACTCCATAATATTGGCAGAAAGGAAAGGAGTCTCTGGGGGTTTGCGCATCGCCGCAGATCATGAATTGGAACTGAAAGAGTACAATAAACAGATATCAATACATGAGAATTTCTAAGAACACAGGAGAGGCCATTCAGTCCATCAAGTCTGATTCAACAACAACAACAACAACTTGCAGTTATATAGCGCCCTCCATGCAGGGCAGCGTCTCAGAGCACTCAGAGCCGGTGGGGATTGGGGAGGTGGCCGTGAGCACGGTCGAACAGGAAAGTTTTCAGGCGGGACTTGAAAGAGGGTAGAGAGAGATTCACACCATTCTATGAGTTCAGGACAGCTCTGGATTTTTTTATTCCAAACTTCTTCAGATTTTATGCTTAAAAACCTTACTTTTTTTTATTCATGTGTAGGTTACTGAAGACTTTGTGTCAAACACGTGTTATTCAAGTGGCCTGCGGAAAGGATCATTCACTGGCTTTGTGCAAAGGTAAACAAGCAAATCTAAAATCTGCTTTCAGAAACTTAATTAGATGTTAAATTAAAATGAAGAATTAAATACAAACCAGTCCGGGAGTGGACCTCTCCACATGCTAATTGATGATTATTATTGTCATGTCATATTAAATGATGTAAGTTCATAGCAGCTGCAATTAATTAGGTATAAAAGAAGCCAAGTTAGGAAGTTTCTCCCGGTGTCCTGACCAAGAAACCCCCAAACAAAATTGGTCATTCACTTCATGGCTGTTTGTGGGTCATTGCCGTGCGCAAATTGACTCCCGCTTTTCACCCACAAACCACGTACAGTCACTGATTCGCCCACAAAATATACAATCAATTCACTTTACGGTATATTCTGTGATGCGCTTTGAGACGTCTCGAAGATGAGATAAGGCGCTGTATCAAATGCAAGGATTATTATTATTATTATATCAAACGCAAGGATTATTATTATTACACTTGCGGCCTAGACATTCCACTCTGGACAAGAGGGTGTGTGTAAAAAACAAGATTGCCGCAGTTCTAGAATTATTTGGAAAAGTTACAGAAACTTTGTTTTGTTGTTTCCAAAGAATTAGAGGAAATGATGTGAAATGTAGAACGCGCACTGCTTAGAAAAGAGAAACGTGTCTCGTTTTTATCTGTTACCAGACGGTCAACTTATCGCTTGGGGGCAGAACGCTCATGGCCAGTTGGGTCTTGGTACAAAAGATGCCTCTCACACCAGCCCCCAGTGTTTGAAGTCTATGGCTGGGATCCCAATAGCTCAAATCGCGGCAGGAGGAGCACACAGCTTTGCGCTCTCTGTCTCGGGGGCTGTGTTTGGCTGGGGAAGGAATGACCGTGGACAGCTGGGGCTCGGTGACACAGAGGGTAAGAACATCCCAAAAATAATTGTGACTTTTTCTTTCTATTGCCATTTTTTCAAACACAATCCAGGAAGTGGGGCGATCGCTCGTTGCTGATGTTTTTGAGCTTCAAAACCTCAGGTTGACAAAGGTCAGCGTCCTGAACCCACTCAGTCCCCAAATCTTAAGTGGTCTTTTTTGAAAGTCGGTTTCATGCATCCAGGTGTCATCAATACACACAGTCAAACCACTTCACGGTATATTCTGTGAAGCGCTTTGAGACGTCTCAATGATGTGATAAGGCGCTGTATCAAATGCAAGGATCATTATTAAGATTATTGACGTTATACAGTATATGAGGGCCGTTCGTCTCATTATCTGAAATATTCTAAAAGCTTTGCCCTGGCATCTTTGTACATGAACTGACTGGATACCTTCTTTAAGCTATATTCTCTGTATTGAATTTTGAAAGCAGTCTTGCTATTGGAAATGATGGAATACTGAATTAACCTGTTAATTGTTTCTTCTCACAGACAGACACAAGCCTACATACGTAAAGCCATTAGAAGGTAAAAAGACAATCCACATCTCCTGTGGAGAGGAGCACACTGCCGTTCTGACAAAGGTTTGTACTGAATTTAGTTTTTAAGACATTCATTTGTTTAGATCTTTATCTTATTGGTACATCTTAGCTGTCAGTCTGGCTCAGTTGGAGAAAGCAGCGGTCAACTTGTGCATGGCAAAATCCCACAAGCTACCATGAAGTGAAGGATCAATTTTACCGGGGGATTGTTGAACAGGACACTCAGCAAATTTCTCAAGGTGTTTCCCTGAGAATTCTCCAGATAAATGGATCATTCACTTCATTGCTGCTTGCAGGACATTGCTTAATGCAAACCGGCTGCCGTGATTGCCTATAATTAGTCACTACACTTAAGAGTCATTATTGTCAAACATATTGAGACATTGTAGGCGCTATATCAAATGCAAGGATTGCTATTATTGTTCTAGAAATTCGATTTATTTGATGTTGATGATTTACACTGATGTTTCTTGTGGATTAGACTGTTATGTTTGGGAATGTATACATTTAATGGTAGCGAAAAGGATAGTCAACAATTATTCAGATGTGAGGGAAAGAACGGCTCAGTTCTCTTAGCCATCTTGTATTACAGTTTGGCATTGATAAGAAATAAGACACATATGTCACTCTTCCAGGATGGATCGGTTTTTACCTTTGGAGCCGGGAGCTTTGGGCAACTTGGACACAACAAGAGAAGGGATGAGATCAAACCTCGCCTGGTCGCTGAGTTATTTGCAGCCAAAGTCTCTCAGATAGCTTGCGGGAGGTAAGGTAGCAACATAGGCAATCAATGTACCAGAAGAGTATGTGTTGTTCACTGCAGATTAAATCAGAACCATGTCTCATTTCTTGTAACTCTTCAGAGAATAATATTTTACACATGGCCTTTTCCATTGTCCAACATCCCTCATGATTTAGAATTGCGTTGCATATTAACTCCAGTGCCACTTGAGTAAATCTTCTAATAATTCATATTCCCTGCTTGTTTGGGCTGGAATTATTTTTTTTTACACACAGCAACACACCTTCAGGACAGGGAGAAATTTGCAAGAATAAAATATATTCTCTACAGCAGTTTAGGTTATTTTCAGTTGAGTGATTTTATTTTTAATCTGCTAATTGCTTTGTTTTTTTACTCGACTGAGAAACATCTCGAAAGCAAATAGCTGCTGTTAGAGCAGTGATCTCCAGTTTACATATGCAGTATCTAATTTTAACCCCTCTGAGACAATAACAGCTGATAAATTGATTAGTGCAGTGCTAAAAGCTGTTCGTTGGGGCAAAGCAACAGCACAAACCTGGGCTAATCTTTACGTTCGCCCGCAGAACACAGTCACTCCATTGTACAGTAATAACCTATCAAGCACTTTGGTAACTCCTCCTGACGTGAAAGACGCTACACCAAATGCACAGATTATAATTTTTCTACGTTTAATCTAAATGTGGATGTGTTTTTCACAGTTATCACACGCTTGTGCTCGTTCCATCATCTGACAAGGTCTATGCTTTTGGTCAAGGAAAGAAAGGGCAGCTGGGAAGTGGACACACCGGTGACCAGCTCGTGCCTCTTCCTGTTAAGTTAGCATCACACACGTCTGACACAGGACCTGCAAGCGGTAAGCAGTTATTTGATGCAGTTGTGATTTACGGGAAATATTACAAAAAAGAGTGATGCTTAGTGTTCACCTGAATTCATCGTTTCTTCAGCTGTTATCCTTGTGGTAAAACTAATCGTTGGCTACTGTAAGGAAACGTAATTTTGCTCCAAGTTAAACTTTTTTTTTTAAAACGGGTTAAAATTGAAATAAAAACAATGGCTTTTTTTTAAAAAAAAGAGACATTGAGAATTTTTCTCCATATTACTCATGTAACCTATTCGTGGGAATTTGCTTTCACAGACTGTGAAATTCAGCCAACCATCAGAAGAATATTTGCAGGAGAGAACCAATCCTTTGTGGATTGCTTTGAGAAAGAGGTACAGAAATCAGTACGTATTTAAATAGGTGATATTATCTGTACTGAAGATGTCTAGATTGTTGTGGCCTGCTTCAATCAGGAGTAATGGCACGGGGGAGTCATTTGCTCCACCCCTATGGACAGCCAGCATTTTTATATTACGTTAGCATGTTTTGCAAAGCATAACAGAATACGTACACGATACTCAAGAGAACAAATCGCTCACGTGTTGCATTCATAACCAGGCACGTTGTAGCTTTGGTTTTAGTTTTTGTTTGCCAAATGCTTCCTTTCCGTACTGTCTGGGCCTTGTACCATTCACACGTATTCTGAAAGACGTAACTGCGTTGAAGTGCAACAGCAACCATCGTGTTTTGGTGTTTTGCTCAACCCATTGGCATCTTAAGAATGAATGTTGTTCATCCTCTAGCTCTGCCCTTCATCATCTAGCTGTGTCCTTCGGTTTGTGGGACGCTGCTGTGCGCAATTGGCTGCCACGTTTCGCCCACAACATGTACAGTCAGTTCACTTTGCAGTGTATTCTGTGAATCGCTTTGAGATGTCTCGAAGACATGATAAGGAGCTGTATCAAACGCAAGGATTATTATTATGATAATGGGTTGCAATGTATCTTCTATCAGTGTCCGTTTATGTGCCGTCTTATTGTTTGTATTATTTGTTCAGAAACCAGTCAACCTTGCAACTGAAGCCTCAGTTACTAATTTGAAGAAAATTGCAACAGTAGATCATTTCCTTTCAGAACAATTGCAAACGGATTATAAGAGACTGAAGAAAAATAAGTAAGTGTCTCACCTAACAGCGTCAGGTTACCGTTAACTTTTATTTGAGGATGCTTTTGTTTGAAATACACACTCCAATTTCCCTCACGCACGCCATCTGTGCTGAAGGAATTGACTCTGGTAACCCTCAAGTACCTCATCCAAAGCAGTCGTTCTTCATGTGTGAGTCTAGACAGTGAGTGTCAGAGATGCTTGGTGGCTGGCGAGAGCAACACAACTATTACTCACCCAATATCCACACCAGTGGACTTTCCAGCAATGGGATAATAAATAATGATCAAAAGTGGGTCGCTGACTGATTTCGCCTTCCAGACCAGGAATACTTTGTTCCAATGCAGCTTTCTGCAGCTGCTCTCCAACTGAGATCAGCACAGACCCGGGATTGAACTCAAGACCTTCTGGGTCTGTCTGTATGGTGTAGTTTTACGTAAGTAAAGTAGTGGCTTTAACAGTAAGCAGTGCGTTTAGAAACTGAACCATCAGGCAGTTCTAACATTTTATTTAACCTCTTGAAGAAGAGGAATGTTAAAGGCTATGGGGAGCGAGGTGGAGAGTAGGAGTGTTAATTAGGTGGCTTTTGTGGAGAAAAATTTGAACAGCGACTAAAAATTTGCACGACGTCTGTGAACAAAATCAGGGTGTTTATTTTTTTACACAAAAGGTTTTGTTTTGTTGAAGGAGCCTTAAAAAACATTGAATTGCATTCCATTTACAGCATTTTGAATTTTGTGTCTCTCCGCGTTACATTCACAGGGTAATTCAACACTTGTTTTCATCTGCTCAATCTCTGAACGGAAGCTTTTTGGATTCGAGGTAGGTTGAATACCATGCGAGCATGACAAAATTCTCCCAAGTCTGTGTTCAAGCAGAAGGCGGTGGCTGTAATCTGCGCGCTGTTGTGATAAGCAAGGTTGCCTGATTTAATGTGGAATTGGGGCCAACACTTCCGCCATCCAATTCCAAGCTTGCTTTTTCATGTGACTAAATTACTGGGCAGGATTCCTCCAGTCCTGCTGCTAGAGTGACCACAAGCAGCTCCCCATGTGATAAATTAGTATTCAGTCCCCTCCTGCCACTTCCCCTCCTTTCTTCAGGCCCCATCGAGGGAGATGTTCTGCCCTTCTCATAGACACATAACTGAGAGACGTAACGCAGTGGAAACCCAGAGTTTCCGATTTCAAAGCAACATTGGCACTTTTCCGTACTGACCCATAGTCAGCCCTTGAAGTAGGTTCAATAATGGTTCAGTACGTGATCACATTGCTCACCTACAGAATGCACAGTCACTACACGGTAAATCCTGCGAAGGGTTTTGAGATATCGTTCTGACACGAGGGGTGGCTATACGTCCTCAGGGCGCAGTGGTAGCATTCTTGCCTCCAAGTCAGAAGGTTGTGGGTTCAAGTCCCACGTCGGGACTTGGAATCACATAGTCTCAGCTGACACGCCAATTCAGGGCTGGGAATTTCTTGTATTGTCAGAGGTGCTGTCCTTGATACGCAATGTTCAAACCCGAGGTCCCGTCTGCCTGTTCAGGTGGTCGTAAAGATTCCATGGCACTATTTGAAAGACGGGGCTTTCTGCCAGCGTCCTGACCAACAAATCCCCCAAATAAGATTGGTCACATTCACTCCATTGGCTGTTTGTGGGACATTGCTGTGCGCCAACTGGCCGGCGTTTCACCCGTAAAATACACCGTGAATCCACTTTAAAGTACATCCTGTGAACCGCTTTGAGACGTCTCAATGACGTGATAAGTCGCTATATCAAATTTAAGGATTATTGTTATAATTATTATTATACCAAAGTAAGGATTGTTTTTATTTGTTAATATTGCCTACTCAGTACACTAACTAACCAATTTTTTGGGGGGAACAGCAAAGATAAACACTTCAAAACCGGGAGAGAGGAGTCAGGACTGGACATGTCCGCTGTACGTTCGAATTTCAAGAAACTGGCAGAAAACCCTGCAATCTTGAAGCAGGTAAAGTTAGTCCAGTTGTACTCTTTACCTCTCACGTCTCAAAGGCTATTATAATTCACACCTTTATAAGCACTGAATGCATTTATTTTTAGATTCTGCTGTTTACATGACTGGGCCAGTCATTATCACGTCTGTGTTGATTAATTGGCCTTTATACATTTATACAGTAATCCGGTCCCTGAAGCCAGGCAGGTCTGCAATATTCCAGGGCACTGCTGATGACTGGCTCATCAGTGGGACGTGGCAGGGCAGACCAGTCACTTGGGGCAGGGATTTGACCTACTCAGCTCCTGTGAACCCTGCTAGCCCAAGCCCGAATGAACCGCGTGTTCTTATCTGGACAAGCAGAAGGAGGCTTGCAAGGCAGTGCACTCAATGGCAAACTATTCGGCTTTAGCAGTACCCCAGTGCACACTCTGGGGTCCTAAGACTAATAACCCTTTGATATAGAGTCTTTCATGTCAGAAGGTCATTGCAAAGCACTTCATAGCAGATACTGTAAAGTACCGTCACTGTGTATGCTTTGTGGGCAAACACAACAGCCAATTTGCGCACAGAAATGTCCAACAGATAGATGGAGCCTTGGTTTAACGTCTCATCTGAAGGACAGCACTGCACTGGAGTGTCAGTTTAGACTGTATGAGTTCCAAGTACCAGTGTGAGATTTGAACCCACAATTTTCTTACTCAGAGCGGGGGTGCCATCAACTGAGCCAGGCTAATACTATTTAAGGGATGGGCTCTCACGGGAATGACTTTCTCTATTTTTCAGGCAATTAATACAGTAGAGAATTGCTTGATCCCTTCTCTACCCGACTCTCTTGCTGGAGTGGAAGCTCTCCGAGTGTACCTTATTCTGCCAGAACTCGTGAGTGTATTGGAAGAGAGCCCATACAAAATCGCGAAACTCCTGGGACTTCTGAGCCGATCAATACTGCTGCTTAAGAAAGACTCATTTGAAATACTTGGTATGTTTTCTTCAGGTTTATGGAATATAGTGTAAAGTGAATCGACTGTATATTGTGTTATGTTCCTTACAGTCTCTGCACTTTACCTTAAATCTTGCGAAGCACTTTGAAACGTCCAGGCAAAGTGACAAGGTGCAATTAAGGATTATATATACAGATTGTATATATTTTAATTCAAGATAGTTGCCATATTTCCGAAAGCTGAGTTAAAGTTCGACTTTAGCTTCTTTTCTAGGATGAGTTCTTCTGACGTTTGTTCATCACCAAAAGTCAATGTGTGGGAGAGAAAAAAGCCTGAACTAAAAAGCAGAATAGTCAATACCGTGTAGGGTGGTGGCCATTGTTGCTTTTGAGAGGGAAGTAGACAGACATATGAAAGAGGGGGGCTTGAAGGAGTATGGGGATAAGGCGGGGTGGTGGGATTCAATTGATCTCTGAGCAGGTAGGGACTCTGTGCTGTAGATTTCTACGTTTGTATGTAAACTTTGCTCCTTACCATTTGGGTCGGTGGAGTTCGGGTCATTGTGGTAACCAGTAGGGATTGGTTATGTTTTATTTTCCATCAAACGTTCCGTGTAATCTCTTTACTAGAATCCTTGTGGCGCACACTGTCTGTGCATTACTTCAGAAAGCTCGTGGAGCTATATAGGAGCTCATCAAAACACTTGGTTGAGGTGAACCTTCCAGTGGGGAATGCTGATCTGTTCGATTGCTTAACCATTTTACAAGCACTTTACAAGGTAAGTGAAAATTTAAGTACAGTAACCCCCCACCCTGCTTACTGGACTCTGAACCTGGGCCAGAAAAAAAACAAAAAAAAATGAAATATATTCCGCGGATCAAGTATTTCCATGGACCACATGTAGACGCCGCCAGCCCAACTCTCCTAACAACCTTACCATCCTTGCCGGCCTTCACAGAGGTCAGGGAAATTGACTTTGACTCAGATTGTTTGAAACTTGCCGCGGAAAATAGCTTAGTCACGACCTTCCACACACGGGATTCAAGCAATTACACCCCTGGTGACGATATTTAGCAGCGTTTTCGAAATTACACTTGGGTCGAAAATTCTGGCTCGCCAGACCATTAGGGTGGCTAACCTGACAGCTAGATGCGGGGGCTGGAAGGGTAGGTGTTGTGGACAGACGAGATCACATGCGCTGAAGGGCCTTCTTCCTCCGAGCTGACTCTGTGGGCTTGTGAATCAGGCTGAGGATGAAACCGTTACTCCAGAAGTTGAAGGGGTGCTCAACCCCCAGATTGCTCACTGAGTACAAGACAAAAACAAAACCGCTGTAAATTCTGCCTGATCTCATCTGACCTCCCTCAAGCACCTTCTTCCGTAAATGACACACGTTCTGTTTGGAGACCAGGGGTCAGCAGTGCTCACAAACAATTTGAAGGAGACCATCATTGATAACGCCCACCTGTTGATGACACCACCCTATGTTGATGAGGTGACGGAGGTAGCAAAGACTGAGGTGATTCAGAGGGATCTGGATCAATTAAGTGGACGGTGTGAGGGGCAGACGTATGATCACAAGACGAGGCGCTTGTACATTGATACAGATATTGCTGTGTGCGAACTGGCTGCCACGTCTGCCCACAAACGCACAGTCGCTACACTTGACAGGAATATCTGCGAAGCACTTTTTGAGACGTTTCAACGGTATAAGTGCTATATGAAATGCAATGATTATTATATTAACATTTATTAAATAATTTACCTGCAGGTAAATGGCAGTCGCGATCACATGATTCCCGAGAATGATTTTCACATTCCTCTAGTGCAAATCATTAAACAGAATGTAATGGTAAGAGCTTAATGATGAACTCTACTTACGATATTCATATAAAACAATGTTAGCATTTAAATATACATTGCTAGCACCAATGAATGTAATTTCAGCTCTGGCACTTTGAGTATATACACCTAATCATATATATATATATAGTGCAGAAAATAAAGTATGATTTGAGACCCAGCATTTCTGATAATTACTCTTTGGACCATTGCCTTAAAACCTAAAATTATGTAAACGTTTGGAAAATTGTCAGGTCTAATTTTGAAGCCAGCTCTTTTCAAACCCTGCTAAAAACTGGTGTGAAAGCTAGATTCAATCGAAGAATTTGTTTTAAATTTTGCACCGTCCGAAATTACGTTTTAAGGCAAGCGATAAGGCTGACAACATGAGACCTCACACCCCCTAGTGTTTATTCAAAGAATCTATAGATAAATAACTAAACTCAACACATAAACAAACAAACAAACAATCAAGCAAATAAGCAAATAAATAAATAAATAAATAAATCATTTGTGTCAAAGGTTTAAACCCTGAGCTCGTGTCTGCTCAATGATTAACATGGTGACTAGCAGCTCATGAGTTCAGATCGTGCCGTGACTGATTTCTGAGCTCCTGTTTGCTCTGTGTGTCTAAGCTTGCTCGGTTCTTGATTGGGAATCCGGATGGAATCCTTCACAGGAGCCGACTGTGAGACTCCTGCCGGAGAAGGGGTTCAATTTGTACCCATGTAGGGGACAAAATAGGCAGCTTTAAACTCGGCGTTTACTAACGCGGTATCATTTTCTTCACAGCCACAGATGAATGTTCTCGAAAGAATATTACAATATTGTCAATACAACACTCAATTATATCAGGTAATGTTCTCCTGCAGGTGGCTCGGTTTATTTTATCTCGGTAGCTGAATCGTATGGGAATGAGCGTGCTAGAAACATAAAATTCTGGACAGATTGGCACATGAAGAAAATGGGAATCACATTTGAAAGAGAAGTGTACCTCACGTGTAATGAAAACGATATGCATTTATGCAATTTCTTCCTTCACAGATGGCAACTGCATTAATGCGTTATCCTTGCATCTTTGATTTGGACGCAAAGGTTTTTCTGTTGCAAACGGAAAACGCAGTATTCCAAGCGGTATGTAGTTCAGCGTCTCAACTTCAAACAGTATATAGCAACAACTTGCATTTATATAGCGCTTCTCACGCAGACTAGTGTCCCAGAGAGCTTAAATCATAATAGCGCTTATATAATAATTGCCATACAATGCATCAGTGTGCAGTACATATAGGGGTTTTGATCATGCCATTGGACTGCCTGATAATCTGTATGAACGCTGCTGGCGAGATGGTTGTGTACATTTTCAGATTGCTGCACTAAGCCACTGAAGGATTAGGTTAAGCAGAAGGCGTCCCCTCCAGGGAGAGAGTGCGCACTCGGTTCCAACCATCTATCCCTGGTGTTTCCATGTGTGGGTGCGATGCATGGAAATCTCAGTTTGGTTTGGATACTCTTAAGCGTGGGTGAGGTGGGATTCCGCACGTGTCGGACACCCGCCCGACCCCCCCCCCCAAAAAAAAATATAGTTTCCATGTGTGTAAAAAAAAATCATTCTGATTCATTTCAGGAAGCTTTGCAGCATCAGAACATGATACCAGTATTACAGGTTGCAAGGAATCGGGTTCTTCAGAGCACTCTGGAATGTCTAAGATTCTCCAATGTGTCTCATTTTCGGTCTGGATTCTGGGTACAAAACTCTTCTCTACTCGTGCAGATGAAAAGTAGACTAAATTAGTTTTCAGTCCTGATCGTCAAATAGCATCAATCAGCGCATGAATGATTTTCAGGTGTCATTTATTCTGATATGGTCACTGGGGGCAGGTATTTTTCCCACTCAGCTTCCGTTAACCCTACAAGCCAAAGCTTTAATGGGTAGGATGGTCAACAAGCAGCAGGAAAGCAGGCCAACCGGTGCATTTAAAGGCAAGATATGTGGTTATAGTTGGTTAGACTCCAGCGGTACCCCCAACGCACACTCTGGTGTCCTCAAGCCTTAGCTCTGTCAGCCTGTGCTTCCCGACCTCCGTGAGCTGTTAACCCCGCATTGATCTTTCCGCTCCCTCCGCTTAGGGGGTCCCAGCCTCTTCACTGCAAGTCCCAGAGCTCAGAACCATAGAGGAGAATTGTTTACACACAAGTATGATATGCCGCAAACCTTAACCTGTGTTGGGATCTTGCTGTCCTTGAAGAGAGATGAGCTTGACCAGTGTTCCCTTCCCCTCTTCTCAGCGCAGTCCTGTAGGACCAGTGTCCAAGCAAAACGTGGTATCCACCACAACCCCAGAATACTGTTTAAGAATCAAAAATTAGGAATGATGCCCCTGGTATCTTTAATCAGTACAGCTGATGTCCTCTCTTATACCGCGCAGAGCCTCGAATCCACACTTGGCCCCCGACTTGATGTCCCTTTAAATGTCCCGGTGTTCACATGCAGTGCGTAAGATCCCCCCAAAAGTCTGCGAGCAGCACAACATTGTCTGCAAATACAAACGCCATAATTCCGTAAGAAATAGCCGGAACGGATACAGCGAGAAACCTGAATGCGCCCTCCCCGACGCCAGAAGGTTATGGCTTCAAGCACCATGTTGGGACTTTGAGCTCACAGCGTAGGCTGACGTTCTAGTACTGTGCTGCAGGAACACTCCGTTGTTAGAGGTGCAATGCTTTGTATGAGACATGAAGTGAGATCCCATCTGCCTGTTCAGGTGAAAGTTAACACGACACTATTTGAAAGAGAAGAGATTTTCTCCAGATATTCTAGCTAACAATTCCTGAGATAAAATTGGCTCTCAATGGGACAGTATGGTGTGCAAATTAGAAGTCATTGTCCGTCTACAAAATACACATTCACTCCACTTGTGCCTGTAGAAGTGGAACATTTTCTCCCTTGGGAATGAGAGTGTCAGCTTTCAGGAAAGATGCATTGAAGAAGATGGGTTTTGATCCTTGTATTCCTTTTCATTGTTTCCTATATTATAATTTCAGGTGCAATTTACAGATGAAAGTTGTTATGGGCATGGGGTGTCACAAGAATTCTTCTCTCTCTTCACACGAGCGCTCTATGAGAGCAAAGGGATATTTACGCGGAATCCTAATTCTGGGCTGCTTTGGTTCCCTAATCAGGTACGGCTGAATTATAAGGTGGTTTCAAACCTTTTAGATATTCAAGTAATGTAGATATCGAATGCAAGGATTATTATTATTATTATTATTATTATACCGCTGTGCAAATATAACATGAACCCAAATACTCTTCAAAATGCACCTCATAGAGGAAGATCTCACAAAACTATCTGAATATTGCTGGCCAACGATTTCTCAAATACTACTCACTCAGGGCTGTTTGCCCACCAAATGCACATGGTCGCCTCACTTTACAGTATATTCTGCAAAGCGCTTTGAGACGTCTCAACAATGATAGCGAGCTATATCAAATGCAAGCAAATTTACCGCGCTCGGTTTTTAAACAGGAGCCGGAATTTGATGACGTGTTTCGCCTCGTGGGAATTCTCGTCGGACTCGCTCTACAGAAACATTTCCTAGCAAATTTTCGCTTCCCGTTGGCCCTGTATAAGAAGCTGCTCCAAGTGCAGCCAACACTGGACGATCTGAAGGAGTTATTCCCAGTTGTAGGGAGGTGAGTGGAAGACTTCTAGGGGTCTGTAAACCTTGGTTGGACTCATGGCACGTGGATTAGCTATGGTCAAATGCATAAGAGTAATTAAGTATAATTAACGACCCGTTACAACTGTACTCCTTTCCAGCAGTGTAATAGCCCTGTTGTTTCCTTTTATCTGATAAATGATTGCGATCATCAATCGAATCATTCTAAATTGATGCTCCAATGCAGTGCTGGGGGAGTGCCGCAGAGTTGGAGCTGCCTTACTTTGGATGAAGACATTAAACCGAGGCTCCATCTGCCGGTTCAGGTGGATGTTAAAGATCCCGTGGCACTGTACGAAACAAGAAGGGAGTTTCTCTCAGTGTCCTCACAATAATCCTAATAAAATCGGTCATTCACTTCATGGCTGTTTATGGGACACTACTGGGCACAAATTGGCTGCTGCCTTTGTCCAAGAAGCAAACAGTCCTGCCATTTTATGGTACGTCCTGTGAACCACTTTGAGATGTCCTGCCAAAGTGAAGGGCGTTATTCCAAATATTAGGATTATTATTCATTAATCCCCGCTTTTTTGGGGCAAGTAACTCCATTTTGAAAACACTTTTGAAAAATTAGAATAAGAAAATTGTTTCCTCTTTTAAACACAGTGTTAAAGGTTGCAACCGAATATGTTGGATACTCATTAAGCAAATAAGGACCAATTGAGTAGGACCAATGGAAGGGCATTAGGAGGTAGAAAAGCAGCAAGCAGGACGAACTGAGTACAGGGTGTTATTTTTTAGTTGGACTGTTTGATTTTGTAACTGGTGAGCTGAAATAAAAGTGTGTTCTACACAATGTTGGTTGAGAACATAAACAAAATTCAGCAGAAATATATAGTTTCAAAAATAACTTGATTTAAGTTAACATGGTTTCAATTAACATTTCTGACAGCAGAAATGTATCGGCTTATCTTGAAAACCAACTTAAAAAAAAATTCAAAACTGATGGCTTTTACATCTCTGAGATATTGCTAATTTTATTAACAAGTATTCACTTTGTTTTCTTTCTTAACGTTATAGTTCTCTTCAGAAACTCCTGGACTATAAGTATGATGATGTAGAAGATGTATTTTGTCTGGATTTCACGGTAAGTTCAATTTTGTATCATATCACTGACCACCTGTTGTTACCTCAGATTATTATCAACTGAATATGCTAATAATTGCGGATAGTCACAAGGGGAAAAATTAAAAATTACTTTTTTTTATAATACTAAAATAGCTCCAAACCAACCTGGATTGATAGTTCTCTTGCCTCTGTGTCAGACAATTGCTGGTTCCAGCCCCATTTTGGGACTTTGACCTGATATTTGACCTAATTCAATCCACAACCCTATGACCCCCATCCACAACCGACTCCACTGGCTCCCCATCACTCAGAGGATACAGTTCAAGACCCTGGTCCTCACCTTTAAAACTCCCCAAAGCCTTGCTCCCCCCCTATCTCTGCGACCTCCTATCCCCCTACCAACCTCAGTAAGCTCCGGCCTGCTTCACGTCCCCCACCTCGTCTGCCCCACCATTGGCAGGTGGGCTTCAGCCCCTCTGCCCCCACCCTCTGGAACTCCATCCCAAGGTCCCAAGGCTTGTTTGGCTGAAAATCTTTGATTTGTATATGAAAAGGGAGCTGCAGTCAAGGAATGTGGAAGGAGTTACTATATGTAGAAATCTAACCTGAAAACTAAAGCACCTATGTTTTGTTTTTACAGGTAATGATGGAAATGAATGATGGAACCCCAGTTTTGCATGAACTTATCCCTAAGGGCAAAGAGACACCTGTTCAAAAGCATAACAGGTAATATTTTTATATTGAATAAAACATTCATTTTATTTTGCCTGACTTCACTCCACTGATAGAATGACCAGAGAATGACCTTTAACACAAACAGTCACTGCACTTTACAGCAAATCCTGTGAAGTGCTTTCGAGCATACTCCTGACCAAATGTAAGGATTATGATTATAATGCAAAAACCCTGTAAATTTCAAGAAGGAAGTCACTGCTTTGAACGAGCTGTTGTGAGAAACCATTTTCCCGATGATAAAGTACAGAGATAATTATCGTATACAATGCCGCAAATTCTTCCCACCCCCATCCACTCCCGCCCAGATGTTTTCAGTTGTCATTTATGCAGTTTCTAAATCTGCTTTTTGTCTTGTTTTGGACAGAAAACAGTTTGTCGATGCCTATGTGGATTATGTGTTTAACACATCTGTCCAGAAACATTTCACAGCTTTTGCAACAGGATTTCGGAGCAGCTTTCCACTGAATGTTGTAAATGTATTCCAACCGGTTGAACTTAGAGCCATTGTCCATGGAAACACTGAGTATGAGTGGAAAATGCTGGAGGAGGTAAGTCACACTGGTTCTGTTGACTTCCACATTTACTATTAGTTCAGTATTAGAGGCATGAGTTATGAGAACGAGTAGAGAAACGGGGCTTTGAAAGAGACATCTCATAGGAGAAATGTACAGTGATATATAAGGTGGTATTTGGGAGAAAGTCCAGCTTTTAAAATATTAATTTTGTTCCTTATATTAACACATTTATTTGTGTAGCATTTTAGAATAACCAAAAATTGACAAATTGTTAAATTCTGACGTAAATTCGGAGTAAGTTTTCTGTAGTTCTTGAAATAAACTTACTGGAAACGGGCTTCAGAATTAAAGTTGTGTCTAAGACTTTGCCAAACTCTGTAAAAATTCAGCATTGAGTAAATCTCTAGACTCCAGTGGAACTTCTTTCCGTAAATCGGATGAAGGTGACCTTTTGACCCATTTGATTTTACCCTTTCATCCATCTGTCACGACAGCATCAAGCGGTTTCTTAAATGAGTCTCAATATCCCGCCCTCTATCACCATTTCTGATCACCTATTATTCCAACTGTTAATAAATGTATGTGTAAAGGAATATTGATTGATGTCTGTTCTAAATTAACCTGTGCTATTTGCTTATTGCCTCACACACCTCCTTTGTTTCCTTTACCTATAAACGTAAATGTGCTTTTGGTACTCTACGTTTCTTTCCATTTCCAAACCTTCCTCCACTCCACCGCAGTTATTTCTTGTCTGGATTTGTGGTTCTGAATACCTTTACGTTAGAGGAGTGCCGATAAGTTTTGCTGACAATGTGTCCTGACAATTTTGCCACCAAGATCTCTCGACATTTGTCACTGGCTGAGTAACCTATGAGTAATCTTTAATGCATTGTTACTTTGGCTTTTGTTCTGTTGTCTTGACACCTTCAATGTATGTTTTACATCCGCACTTGCTTACAGAAAGCAACCTACAACAAATATAAACCCAATGACCAGACCATCAAAAATTTCTGGACAGTCTTTAACCAGCTACCAGAGGAGGAGAAGAAGAACTTTCTTGGTAAATATTCCTTCTGCATTATAAATGGATGGTTTGGTATAAGTTTGTCAGGAATTCACAATTGTTTAGCCTATGTTTATCCAATGACTTCTCAGGAGCCCATTCTCAGTTGCGACAACTTTCAGCTGTACCTGGCTTCGCTCCTCCCAAGCTTATTCTGTGGCATGCACTGAATACATAGGTACAAATAATGAAGCTCAGCCTAAGCTACTGTCAGCAAAACTGACAATAAAACACCAGGAAAACTTTCTTCAGCGAGATTTGTCTCCACTTCTCATCTTACCCACGAGAGCCTACCCTGCAAAGGCTCCCACTACTCTCTATGAAGCTCTTTGAGACAAATTTCTGCATGAAAAATGCAATACAAATGCAAGTTGACGTGGTTTACAATTCCGTTGTTGATCTCCTCCACGTTGAATGGTAACAGAAATACCCAGATACAGAGGTTCAGGTAAAGAAGGTCCCTAGGCCCATTTATTTCTTGCTTCCAGAATAGAAACCGTATAGCCCCATTATGGCATCAGGCTATTTCTTACATGTCCTTGTTCTTCCACAGCAACCAACACTGTACCCAATATCCCAGTGTGGCTTGAGTAAGACCCCCTGGGGTTTGATTTGACAATGTATCACGTAAAATAATCAGGAACAATTTAGGTATTGTGGAAAATAATCTTTAAAAAAAGGCTTCATTGCTAATGTTTCTTTTACTGTTTCCTCTTTTCCCAACTTTAGCCTTTCTGACGGGAAGTGACAGAATTCCAGTGGAAGGAATTGGAGCTCTCAGGATTAGGATACTTCGTGCCACTTGTAATGAACCGGATTTGCATTATCCCCGTGCTTACACGTGCACCAACACTCTTGATCTTCCCAACTACAGCAGCCTGTCAATTTTAAAACAGAAGGTTCTCCATGCAATCAAATTCGGCAAAGAGTTCAATGCAATACCACCTTAATGTCTGCAGTCACAAAACCACTTCCTCTACTCACCAGAGAAATGCCCAAGACTTGAACTTGATTTGCCATTCAATTCCTTATTGACAAAATAATATGAAAATAATGGAATTTGGGGAAAGCATTAATGATTGAGATAATTTTTTAAAAAATACATACCAATTTTCGTGGAGTTTTAGTACAAGCATTCGTGCCTGGTCTGCTCCCGTGATTTCTTCTCAAGTAGGTCGGGCTTCAGAGCTCATGCCAAATTTGTCCATTTAGCAGTGACAATGAAGAGGCGTATTGAGGGACAAACATTTCACTTGGTGATTTCAAGCTGATTTGGCATCCTGGGAGATGGTGGAGAATTGAACTTTATATTTACCTGATTTATATTGATTTTCTTTGTTTGCTTAAAAAAAAGACATGAAGAATGCCTGCAATGAAGTAATAATTATGTATTAAATTAAAAATAATGGCCACCTGCCTCTTTGTATAAAAATAAAAGTAAAAAAAAAAAAAATTGCGGTAATGTTTACAGCAAAAAAATTTAAAATCCTTGGATTTGATATGGTGTTTTTCGAGAGGTTACCTGATCCTGTGGAGTGTGGAACGGACCCTTCACAGTTGTCAGCCTTGAAGCCGCACAGGCAGTGCTCTATGTGAGACACTCCCGGGAACCCAAGTCCAGACCCATCGTGCCCACTTACTGCCTGCAATGCCGAAAGACCATACGCGCAGTAAGAACACACAACAGCTACGGAAGATGAGGTTTTGACCAGCCATCATGGCATCAGGCGATGCAGATCGCCCCAAAAAATGCGCGTTTCGCCCACAAGTATACAGTCAACTCACTGTACAATATGTTCTGTGAAGCGCTTTGAGACGTCGAACAGTTTATATTCTATTAAAACAGTTCTGTTTTGAAATCTATTTGGTTGTGTCATTCATTGTACAGGACATGTTTTTTGCACATGAGGTATAGCATTGTTCAGCACTGTATACGGAAATAATGAGCGACCACAGTTTTATTGTGCATGGGTTAAACATGGTACAGAAACCTTACCTTAATATCACCAGCCAGTACAGTATATATAAAATCTGACTTATACATAACTTTTCATAAATCATACAGAGTTAATCCACTTTACAATATATTCTGTGAGATGTCTCGAAGACATAATAAGGCACTATATCAAACGCAAGGATTATTATTTAAATGATACCACTTATGAGAGTTTCACATAACTCATACTTTGCATAAGTCGTATTAAATTTATTGTCCCAACTGATACCACTTATGTGAGGTTTACTGTGTAAATGCAATTTGTTATTGTTGAACTATCTCACACGATTTTGACACGATGAGTTAATTAACCCCCCTCCCTTGCAGCATGAAACTGTTTCTAATTATGTAATCATGCAAATTAATGAACGTGTAAATCAGATATAAAATTTGCACTTTAATGTCGGTCTGGCTCATTCGGCAGCATTTGTCTCTTGATTCAAAAGAGGTGTAGACTCAAAGCACAAAATACTGCAGATGCTGGAAATCTGAAACAAAAACAGAGAGAGCTGGGAACCCTCAGCAGGTCAGGCAGCATCTACGGAGAAAGAAAAGTGAGTCAACATTTCGGGTCCACGACCCTTCGTCAGACCTGGGGCAACCGTCCATAGATGCTGCCTGAGTTTTCCCAGCTCTCTCGGTTTTTGTTTAAGGTGTAGGCTCAAGCCTGGACTTTAATCTTGCAGTCAAGGCTGACACTCCAACGCTGGGAGTATGTTGCATTGTCAGAGGTACTGCCCTTCAGAAGAGATGTTAAACCGAGGTCTCGTCTGTGCTGGTTCAAGTGGCCGTTAAAGATCCCATGGCACTATTTAGAAAGAGAAGGGAGTTCCTCGCGATGTCCTGGCCAACAGTCCTCCAGAAAAAAATTAGTGAATCGCTCCATTTGTTTGTGGCTGTTTGTGGGACACTTCTGTGCCCAGATTGGCCGCCGCATCCATCTACAAATACAGTCACAGCATTCCGCAATAAATCCTGTGAAGCGCTTTGAGACGTGATAGGAGATGCTTCAAGCACAAGGGTTAATAGTGTTTCATAATAAAACCGTCACAAAGTGAACTGTTAGGAAGGATGACAAGTCTGAATGATTCATAAACCCGATTTTACATTCCGTCAGGTACATGACACCCTTTTATCACTTTGCTCTATGTACCGAAAGTGCATAGGTAACAGTCAGGCCCAGCTCTTTAGTTTCAGGGATCAGCTGCAGGTGGAGTTAATGACAGTCTCATTCATGTTGTGGTTTCTGTTTCCTGATCACATACTGCAGTAGCTTTGAAACTGGTTACCACAGTTTCAGTTTCTGTTTCCTCCTCCACGCGAGCCGGTGTTGACACGATGGCCAGATAGAGGGGAGGCATGAGTCACAAGCTTACACGTCACTTGGTTTTGAAGGAGGAGGAGAGTTGGCAGCTCAGCAGAGCACTGATGTGTCTGGGCTGCTTCAATCAGAGTCTTCAGTAGTGGAGCAGCACAGAGCAGGAGACAGAGATCAGCTGAGACACAGACACAGAGAAAGGGAGAGAGACAGAGATACACACAGAGAAAGGGACAGAGACACAGGGAGAGACACAGAGAGAGGGAGGGAGAGGGACCCAGGCAGACAGAGGGAGAGGGCAGCATGTTGTGCTGGGGGCAGGTGGGCTGCAAACAGCTGGGTCTAACCCCTGGGCAGGACGGGGTGAGTTCAGAAGCCACTCACAGCGACAGGCTTCTCAAACACGGGAGGGTTCGGCACATTTGCTGCGGAGACGGATTCACTGTGTTCGTGCTTGAGGATGGGAAGGTTCTCTATACAATGAACGGCCAGAAGCAGAGGAAACCTGGTAAGTAAATGACACTTCGCGCCTCCAATTGTTGGAACTGTTCTATTTCTACAATCTCTCTCTGCAATTTCCGTGTGGAGGTGGGAAGCATGAAATTCTCAGCTTGTTTGGGATACCCTGAGGCACGGTGATGGGTTTCAGACACCCGGCTGACCAAAAAAAAACCTGCAAGTCAGATACGGCAAGAAAGCGTGAATTTGTATAAAATGTCTGGCTTCCTGACTGAAGCAAACACACAAACTGCATTTAACAATAGGCTTTATTTACATTTAGTGTGATTAGTGAATTGAAGATAGAAATCCTGTCAGAACCTAGACGTTTTTTATAACTGTATTTTTTGCTTATTTTTTCTTGTAATTCCTTGAGAGAATTTAATATTTCGTCTGTCTGGGGAGATTGAATAAAGTATTAATTGGCATCAAGGATTACAAGAGTGAAATATGTTATAGAGAGCCCGGCAAATGAATAATGGGAGTCAAAACAATGCTCGGCCGTTGAGAATAACATTTAGATTCATTCAAAACAAAGATTTTTGATAAGAAAGTACTCTCACTGCTCAATAATTAGAGTTAGCCAAAGCTCAGGCATCCCAGAGTATGCGTAAGGATACTGCTGGAGATTAACCAGCTAAAACCACATAAACTGCCATTGAAGGCTCTGTCAGGCAAGCTTGCCGTCCTAGAACCTGAACAGCCAGAGTTCCCTTCTCCCTTCTGAGCACGGGTTGGCAGGACTGAGTCCAGGCTGAAGTTGGTGTCAGGTACCAATAAGAATCAACAAGTGGGACTGATGCCCCTAGTATCTTCCAATCAATACCTTTGAGGTCCCTCATAATTCCACCATCAATGACCCAGTGTTCAAGATGGTGAATGCAGCGTATGAAATCACCAGTTACGTTCGCCAACAGCATATGATCTTCTGCAAACAGAAGTACTTTTGGCAGATATTGATGAACGCAAAATGAAGGTGAGCGTTCCCTGAGCCTTATGGACTTCCACAGTCTCATAAACCCACCCCACACATTCAGCACAAAAAACAGAATGTAGCCTATACCTTCCTGATCAAACTTCAGGTCTCCACGTAAATCCTTTACAAGTTCAGTGATTACCTGAAGCACTATCTCGAGAGCCACAGCGCTCAGTTTTGTTTTATGTGTAAATTAAACACAGTGTTGGAAGGCAGTATTCAATTCAGTTTTGGATTCTCCTAATTTGACTGCTATGCATTTGCATTGAGTCATCAATGTGTAGTTTAGCAATGTGGAAGTTCTGGAAGTTCTGTTCTGGGAGAGGAGAATCATCGCACAGTTGAGAGACTGAGATCTCTTTGTTTTGTATTGTACTCAATAGGCAGTTTGTGAGTCCAGAATTATTTTGTAACCGCTTGGTCTTCTATTTTTCAAATGAAATATCGAAAGTTCAAAATTATTCTGAGCCTAGATATTATGACGTTAGTAGCGAATATCTATTTATTGTTATTATTTACCCTCTGGTCTAGTCTCTATCTGCCCATTGACCTGAGGTTGACGTTAAGTCTATCGCTCAGCCCGGTCATACATGTGAGAGAGAAATGGAACCATCATCAGATGGAGTCATCAAAAAAAACACTGATCTTGCATAATTATTTCACCATGTTTCTCCTGTGAATCATAAGAATATAAAAATAATAATCCCTGCATTTGATATAGCGCCTCATCACGTCTTCGAGACGTCTCAACCGTTTCACAGAATATACCGTAAAGTGAATTGACTGTATATTTGTGGGCGAAACGCGGCAGCCGATTGCGCACAGCAGCGTCCCCACAAACAGCCGTGGATTGAGTGACCAATTTTTTTTTTTTTTTAAGGAAATATTACCTCCAGTAAAGCGATCCGCCAATTGACTAACAACCGGGTTCCTACTTACTGTTAGGTAAACAGAGGCGTGTGGAGTAAGGAAACTTGTCCAACATTTCGCCCTGCCAGGAATCGAACCAAGGCTCTCAATTTTTATGGAACTTTTTATAAAATCATTCTAGTCTTAGACTGAAATGCGGGGAACTCAAGAAAAGGCTTTCTTAACTGGTGCTGGGAGTGTACTGCATTGTCAAAGCTGCCGTCCTTTGGGTGAGATGTTGAAGTGAGGTCCTGTCTCCCTGGTCAAGTGGACATTAAGGATTCCATGGTACTCAATTTTCGAAAAGTTGGGTGTGACTTTAACTGTTGCATTCGCCTACAAATAAACATTTACTACACTTTAAATAAAACTCGTTTGGATATAATAGGAAATGATAGTATACCAAATGCAAAGGTTATTATTATTTTAAATGAATCCAATTTGTTATCCATGTACCATGTTGGTCTAACACAAAAGGTTGTTTGCAAACAGCAGGTAGTTTATCATGATATTTCCAATGACATGAATTTGATTCTGATAATGTTGTGTTTTTGCCACCGTATAGCACGGCTTGATGAATTCAGTGCAGAAAGGGTTTGCTTTGTGGACAGTGGAGCCTCGCACATCTTGTTTGTTTTGGAAGAAGGAAGTGTGTTCTCCTTCAAATTGCAAAGCACGCAACCTGGGCTGACTTCGAAGACGTACTCCGAAATTAAGCCACAGTAAGAATTATATTATTTTACAGGTGATGGTTAGTCATGTTTGCATAGTTCTGAAATCCGGGGTGCAGGGTTGAGTAACGACCATACACTTGGTCACTCGGGTTTCCAACACACGCGGAAACCCATCGCCACTCTTAAGCGCATCTTAACCACATTCAGAGTTCTGGCCATCTCTGCAGGCAACCTATGCATAGACATTTTCCGGTATCAGGAATGGGGTGCACATCTCTGGTTTGAGTGGAGTTAGCTGATCTCAGGCAGGGCAGCTGTCACCGACTAACAGCACGGACCTGGGATCCTCATACATTGCATGTCTCACCGTCATACAATTGATGAATTTCTCAATCATCTAAATTGTCTAAAATAATTTTGGTACAAGATCCCATTCTCGTAGAAAATCGGATCTTTCTTCTTCCTGATTTCGTGCCTCTTTGGGTTGGGTACCACCAAAAACACCACAGCTTCCTCTACATGTAAATAACCATCCTTGCATTTGATAAAATAATAATAATAACAATCCCTGCATTTGGTATAGCGCTTTTCACGTCTTCTAGACGTCTCAAAGTGCTTCACAGGAGCGCAAAATATAATGATTGTGTACTTGTAATTAGAGGACTATGACTTTACATGTTAAAGGTCTTTACATTGAGATAAAGGTGTATTTTGATGGTTGTCGAGAATTTGTTCTGTTCACTGCACTATTTGCGATGGATATATTATTATGCTTTTCAAATATGTGTGTCAGCCTGCTCAGCTGGAAGCTACTCTTGCCTCTGAGTCAGAAGCTTGCCACGGTAAGAGTTATACTATTTTACAGGTGATGATCAGTCATGTTTGTATAGTTCTGAAATCTGGGGTGCAGGGTTCAGTGGAATAATACCCATCGCAATAGTTAAGAGCATCCTAACCGCATTGGGAGTTCTATCTGTGTGCCACCTATGCAAAAGAATAAAGCTCCACATCAGGACTTGGGACTCATGCAGTCTAAGCTGACACTCCAATGCAACACTGGAGGTCCCGTCTGCTTTTCCAAGTGGACGTTAAAGATCTCATGGCACTATTCGAGAAGAGAAGAACGTCTATCCTTGTGTCCTGTCTAACAATAGCATTTACCATTCACTTTGTGGTTGTTTGTGGGACCCTGCTGTGTGCAAATTGGTTGCTGCTTTACCTGCAAAATACAGTCACACCACTTTACAGTGTGTCTTGTCTCGATGATGTAATGAGATGCTATGTCAAAATGCAAGTGTTACGACGTGATATTGATGTGATGAAATGCATAATATATCAAAAGTTTTTATTACTATAAAGACTTTGTGTTAATTATTGGTATTTGTGCAACTACAGATTGTTAAAGCACCTGAGTGGGAAGTGCGTAGTTCAAGTTGCCTGTGGAAGGAATCATTCCATGGCTCTATTCAAAGGTAAAACAAAATATCTAATATATGGCTTGAGAGATAAATTCACTGGTTCACAAGGTCGCAAGATTAGTTTGGATGAAGACCGCCTTTCAACCTATTCAACCTCATCCCTCCAGAAAACCCACCCTTATCATTCCCCACAAGCACTGTATCAAGCTGCTTTTTAAACAGCTTTCCAGTAGTTGATTACCCTCTGTATAAAGAAAAGCATTCTGGTATCTGCCTTTTACAATGCCTTGAATGCCTTTTATGACGCTAAACCTATGTCCTCCTCTTCTACTGTCTAGGATACATCTAAGTCATTTTCTCTCAAGACTGATGAGTCCTTGTTTGTCAAGTCAATGCTCATACCTCATTCTTCCAACACTGGGGATCATCCTCATTGCTCTCCTCTCCACTACCTCTTAGGCCTGGACAGTCCCCTTATGTCGCAGTGAACCAATTGTATGCGATATTGACGGTGTGGTCAGATGGAGTCCTGTAGCTCAGTGGTTGAGCACTCGCTTTGCAAGCGAGAGACCTGAGTTCAATTCCAGGCAGGGCGAAACCTTGGGCAAGTTTCCTTACTCCACACAGAGCCTAATAATAATCCCTCCAAAACCAAAAAACAATAATAAATTGGTCATTTTCAATCCACGACTGTTTGTGGGACATTGCTGTGCGCAATTGGCTGCCGCGTTCGCCCACAAATATACAGTCAATTCACTTTACAGTGTGTTCTGTGAAGCGCTTTGGGACGTCCTCCCGACGTGAAAAGCGCTATATCAAATGCAAGGATTATTATTATTATTATTATTATTATGAGGACACAGCGCAGCCTGATTATATCATCTGGGGATCTAAACTCAACTGATTTAGCAATATAGCCCAGCTTCCTGTTTGCCTGGTTTAGATGTGTGGTTCGGAGCCAAAAGGAACGCAGCTTTGCTTGCTGCTCTGTGCCGAGCTACTTTGATCTTAGTGACAGAGCCCATTACAATTGACTTCAATAATCGGAATGAATGTTTAACGTATCTTCAGTTTTCTATTTGATGGACTGATTTCCTTTGATGATTACAAGATGGTCGACTTATCGCTTGGGGGCAGAACGCTCATGGCCAGTTGGGTCTTGGTACAAAAGATGCCTCTCACACCAGCTCCCAGTGTTTGAAGTCTATGGCTGGGATCCCAATAGCTCAAATCACGGCAAGAGGAGCACACAGCTTTGCGCTCTCTGTCTCGGGGGCTGTGTTTGGCTGGGGAAGGAATGACCGTGGACAGCTGGGGCTCGGTGACACAGAGGGTAAGAACATAAATGTGTTTTGTTTTATTTATCCTCTTCTTTCCATTTGCTTCATGCTGACTCTGCTTCCAGTACAAGGTCCAACTCCACATGTCTCACTCAGCAGCTCAGGAAACATTGTCACCCAACTCACACTTGTTCCATTGAAAAAGAGCTTGTATTTCTATAGCATATTATCACATTGAAATGGATCACAAGCAATTTCTGCCAAGAGCAGTGATTGTTTTTGTACGTAAATGTAGCACCAGTTTGCACCAGGAGGGTTCCCCAAACAGACTCTTGATATACAGACATTCCTATGCAAAGCACATTGGTAATGGGATAATTCTCACACTCTCTCTCTCTCTCTCCTCAAGATCGACACTCTCCTACCTATGTAAAACAATTAGAACACAAGAAGATTGTCTACATCTCTTGTGGAGAGGAGCACACTGCTACTCTGACAAAGGTCTGTCCTCAGGATATTTTAAATCTAATTCTGGCTTATGTATTTTGTGGGCAAATATAATCTTATCACTCAATCCACGACTGTTTGTGGGACACTGTTGTGCGCAATTGGCTGTCGCGTTTTGCCCACAAAATATACAGTCACTGCACGTTACAGTATATTCTGTGAAGCGCTTTGCGATATCTCAAAGACGTGATAAGGCGCTGTATCAAATGCAAGGATTATTACTATTATTATTAAATGTTGAAGACAATTTGGCACAGTAAATTCCCATTGGATATGTGACTTTGTTGTGTTTCTCACTATATTCCAGGATGGATCAGTTTTTACCTTTGGAGCCGGGAGTTTAGGGCAACTTGGACACAACACGACAAGGGATGAGATCAAACCTCGCCTGGTCGCTGAGTTGTTTGGTGCCAAAGTTTCTCAGATAGCTTGCGGGAGGTGAGGTGGCACAGAGCCAAACTAATGTCGCTGAATGAAAGTTTTTTTTTTGAAGAGCAAATAGGATATGGGGAAAGGGCAGGAAAATGGAACTGGAAGGATGGCTCTTGAGGAAGCCTGCACACCCATAATGGGCCAAATAGCCTTGTTCTGTGCCATAAATTTCCATGGTTGTGTGGCTCTTTAAAGCCATCCATGGCCTTGCCCCCTCCTACCACTCTGACCTGCTGACTCCCTACCAACCTGCCCGCTCCCTCCATTCAGCGGGCTCCGGGCTGCTCCATGTCTCCCGACCGACCCACCCTACCATCAGTGGTCGGGCTTTCAACCTCTCTGCCCCCACACTCTGGAACTCCATCTCATGGTCCCTTCGCCTCGCTTACTCCCTCGCCTCCTTCAAGGCCGGTCTCAAGACCCTTCTCTTCGACCATGGCTTTGGTCTTCCTCCCACTTCTCTGCCTTCCCTTACCTCTACACACCCCTCCCCCAGGCTCGGGCCCCGACACCTGACTGCTCAGCGCTTTGGGACGTCCTCCTGACATGAAAGGCGTTCTGTGAATGTCATTTTGTTGTTGTTGTTCTAGGGCCTGGGTGAAATGAGTTCAAAACCATGGAATGAAAATTGAGTGGTGTGATATGTTAATTGTCACTGGAACTAATTAACCATCTTTGATAAATATGATCGATGCCAAAACCAGTGTGCCCTATCCCTCACCTTGCAAACAATGTAGAGCTGAGGATCAGGTGTGAACTTAAGTGATGACCAGTGCCAGGGATTAGTCTGAGTGAGGGTCAATAGCCATGACTATGTTTGATTGAGACAGACTTAACCGAACAATCTTTTCCTGTGCTGTAAATTTCTGTTTCTATTGCAGTACGATTGCCCTAATCCTCATTGCTGTAACTGCCAAACCTGGTTTGCGGCCCTTCTCATTTCAATTAGGAGCTGACTGAATACAACAGACACGCAAGCTCAGAATCTGTTGGTTCAGACGTCTTTTGGTTCATTGCAGAAGTGAAGCCAACCCTGGGGGCCCAGAGCTATTCCCACCCTGTGCTAGAAACCCAGCCGAAAAACACTTGATTTTTAAAATGAGATTCAGTGTGTGTGCGTGTGTTGGTGTGTGTTGTGTATGTGTGTGTGTGTGTGGTGGGGTGGGCCGAGATGTGGAGTCATAATCGGCAAACAGAAAGTTTCATCTTGCAGAATTGTAATCGTTAACTTTAAGTGAAATTGTGTTTTTCACAGTTATCACACGCTTGTGTTCGTTCCATCATCTGGCAAGGTCTATGCGTTTGGTCAAGGAGAGAAAGGGCAGCTGGGAAGTGGACAGACCAGTGACCAGCTCGTGCCTCTTCCTGTTAAATTAGCATCACACACGTCTGACACAGGACCTGCTAATGGTAAGCAGCGCAAGATTATCTGCTATAGATGTGCGTTGGGTAGAAACTGTTCCTATACACCTAAAAACTGCTTAAATAAGATTTTACTGACTGATCAGTATGTTTTCTTTATTTTTTCTCTGCGCCCCAAATCACGTTTGTCTGAGATGACGTAGGAAAGCTCTCCAGTTTGAGGCATGAAGCTCCTAAGAGTGTTTATTGCTGACTCTGGGTGCTGTTTAACAGAAAAAGGATTCCTTCCCCCAGCAAAGGAAACTTGCTTTGGTATACACAAAGAAATTCACTGGGGAAAAATGCAAAGTATTACTCTGTGTTTTTGAAGCACTATGGAGCTTTCCACTATTGCTCATACGAACTACAGAACACCTATATTCCTGATGCTCTGTGCCATTGATCCCTGATTGTGTATTAATGTCATTTGTTTTCACAGGCTGTACAATCCAGCCGGTCGTTAGCAAAATATTTGCAGGAGTGAACCAAAGCTTTGCGGAATGCTTTGCGGAAAGGGTAAGGTTTTAGTTTATAGACTGAGGAATGCATTTAGTGTGCAGGATGCCATGAGCCAATGCCCAGTGTAGAGGTACAGGGAGGTACCTCTGCACAGGACTCAGTCAGTATCCTTCTGTAACTGACTGACAAACAGAACGCACAAGATCACAAGAGGTTTGGATGAAAGACAAACTTTGACCCAGTTAGCCAACCTTATCATCTTACCGTTCCAACGTCAACCTAAGGTCAATGTCCCTGTGGAGTCTTATGTCTTCTCGTCTGTTCACGTCCCCTAAAGTTGCTTACAGTCTTCTTCACAATTGGAGGAAGTGGAATAATAGGAAGTACTAACTGCCTACACAATTAATGTGTTGTCTGCAAACTTAGAAATTGGGCCCGTTATACTGGTCTAGATCGTTTATATAAATGGAGAAAAGCAATTATTTTCTTTATATCACTTGTTTTGATCGTACTTTTTGTAACAATCACGGAAAAGCAAAGGCTATAGCTTGTGGTATATTTGCAAGAATAATGATTAATATGATTATTAAATATAATTCCAAATATAGCAGGTGTCATCTTGTAGTATGTCGTATTCTCACACCTCTTTTTTTACTGTAGGATGATATTGCTCTAAAACACCACTCTTCATTTATATCCATGAAAGGAATTGCCACAGTTGACGATTTGCTTTTGGAAAAATGGAGTGGAATAGATGATGGGAAACTGTGTAAAAGCATAAAAACGTAAGTGTGCCTATTAACAATAGGGGTACACATGGAGCGTGTGATGTGATATTTATCACTGGAAATAATGGTCACGTCACGGGACATTCTGCTTCTGCTTCTGCCAATGTTCCAGTTTCCGATTGGCTTTCAGGGGCTCCCCTGACCTAAACATTAAAAAATCCCCAAACACCATCCAAATCAGAAATCAACCTTCTGTGGTTTAAGGTGAACCAACTAAAAGGGAAATCCTAGATGACCAAAAGCACACATGGTTGTCTTCTGTATTGGTATTCCCTGTGTATATATATATATATATATGTATCTATATATATATTAAAAAAAATTTGGTCACCCAATCTACGACTATTTGTGGGACACTGCTGTGTGCAATTGGCTGCCGCATTTCGCCCACAAAATATAGTCACTACACTTTACAGTATATCCTGTGAAGCACTTTGAGACGTCTCGTAGAAGTGATATGGCGCTTTATCAAATGCTAGGATTATTAAGGATTATTAACATCTTGCGGAGAGAACATGTTCTCTGAAGATGATGGAGGATTTATTTTGTTCTATTTGATTAGAATCAGCATCACTCTCAGAAATAATAATTCCTTCTGGCTTTTAATAGCCCAAACCAATACTGCCCCAAATTGATCCTTAAACCACAGAAGGTATATTACTGATTTGGATGAAGTTTTTCTCATGGTTTTGTCATTGGAGAATAAAGAATTCCATTCCTGAGGAAGAAATTTGAATCCGATTTTTAATTTGCGTTTTGCATTTTGAAATACTATTGCGTTTAATTAAAGCAACAAAGTGAATCAAAATCCATAATTATTTCGGAAGAATAACAACGATGATGTTTAACGGCTTGCACTTGTATTATTTACAGGGAAATCAATCACGTTTTCTCTTCTGCTGCATCTCTCAATGGAAGCTTCTTGGAAACCACGTAAGCCCAAGCCCAATACTGATGATGTTGCATTGGGAATGGTGGAGGAGAGTGTGTGGTGACTTTGGTTGAAATAGCATCCTTTTGCCTCTTGGGTTTGGGTCCAAATCTGGGATGATGAAATGTAAATGACCTGTCTGCTGGCTATAAGGATATGAAGCAATCTCAACCCAGTTCCTCATGATCACAAGTACACAGCACAAAAAATCCCAACAACTCAGCACTAACCTAACAGTCTTAGATTGCCTGAATGGTGTTGTTATTTGCATTACACTAGAAGTTTAGCGATTGACGCTGTTTACCTATGGTGTTGACCCTGCTGTTTACCTACGGTGAGAGCAGTGTTAGTACCAGGTGCTTGACAAACATAAACTGGAGCCAGGAAGGTTTATTGTGGACGCTAACTTTTTTTTTTTTGAAAATGTTTCACTTTTAAAACAGAAAAGACAACCATTTCAAAACGAGCAATGAAGTGTCAGGAGTGGATATGTCTGCCATGCATCTGTGGTTTGAGAAGTTGCAGAGAAACGTCACGGTGTTACAAGAGGTGACCATACAGTGAATCTGGCATAACTCTTATCTTTATAGATCATATAATTACTTAAGTCATACATTCACCCGAGTCTCAATCACTTTCCAATCAAACTTAGGATTTCTTTGTACATATTAATCACCTCCTAACTCTTAACGCCACTCGACTAGCCTCCCACACTTACCACACCGAAGCACGGGAAATGACGCCCTGACACATCGACCCATGGACCCTCACCGGCCAGCTGGTAAGCCCCACAACTCCAGTGCGGTTCTGGGGAACGCTGTATCTCTGGAGTTGTTGTCCTTCGGATGAGATATTAAACTGAGATCCCAAGGCACGGTTTGAAAGGTGCACGGAGTTTCTCCCGGTGTCCTGGCCAAATACCACCTCATAAAATCGCTCATTTATTTGATAGCTGTTTGTGGGACATTGATGGGCCATGTTTGCCAGTGATTTGGTTGTTGCTGCTGACATCACTTCCCGCAGGCTGGGCATGAATTTAACGCCCTGGAAGTCAGACATTTTGGCTTCCTGCACGAACTGATGTTTTGGCTTTCTGTGCGCATGAGAGTGAATGTGTAAGTGTTGAGGAATGATCATACCCTGTTGTAATATTGGTTGGCATTTGATAGACCTGCTTTATACACCATCTTATAATTGTATTAGATTCCCACCCACCCAAACACACACCATTGTGTAAGTCACTTCCTCTTTTTTAGTCATCCCCCCGCCCGTCCCCATCACCCCCCCATCCAATCTACTCTGCCCTGTTTGATCAAGAAGGTGAATGAGCCTCTGTGTTTTGCAACAGGCAATAATAGGTTCACAACATGATGTTGACTCTGGCCACTGATCTTGATTTGCTCTTCTCTCTGCGCAAGTGTTTCCCCTCTGCTGTGTAACTCACCAGTCAGCCTGCTTGAGATTGGGAACTCAAACTATAGTAAATGCTTGGGAGCTTCACTTTCTGCCATTAGATTCTGAGATTACATGTATTTCCAGATTGCTCGTTGATTTTGTTCTGATGGTTATTTGCGTTATAAATCGGATCTACACTTAATTCCGCTTTTTTGTTTGTAATTTTACTTTTCAGGTCACTGATACAGTAAAGAAAAACCTGATGCCTTCATTACTTGAGTCCCATGTTTGTGTGGAAACTCTCCGAGTCTACCTTATTCTGCCAGAGCTCATAGAGGTGGTGAAAGAGCAGAAGGATGTTGTGAAACTGACAAGCCTTCTGAGCAGAACTATTCTGTCACTCGAGAAAAGCAAACTGAAAATCCTTGGTAAGATTTGTAGATATTTCAAGACGCTAACTCCATCCATAGTCCTGATCATTCTACTCTGAGCAGGGGTCAGAACTCGTGTTAGTTTGGATTTCTGCAACTTTGCCTTTACCAAAGTTAAATGCCAAAATGTAAAGTCGGGAACCTGAGAACAGAGGAACCTAATGTCACTTGTGATCTTTGTTTACCTCGTGTATGACTGAGGCAAAAACGCGTATATAGCTTTCACGCTTCCTAACGGCTGCTGGGTCAAAACTTTGATTCCCACCCCAGCTTCAAACGGATCACAGGACATCTGCACCCCCAATGCTTTCTGCGTCCTCCCTCCTGGGAATGTGACATCAACATCACCGACCGTGGGTGGTAGTGGAGAGGGGGATGTGGGGTGGTGGGGGGGGGCATAGAGAGAGAAAAGAGCGTGACTTGATCATGTGGTGAGCGAGGGGTCGGGGATGCCTGATCTCAAGGAGAAGTTAAGGGGACCCATCACTGCACGCGCACTTACTGGCCTTGAAGTAGCACTTGCAGTACTTGCACTTGCATGTGAGATAATCACGGGAACCTAAGTCCTGACCCATCACGGCGGTACCCGATTACTGTTGCGATGCTGAAGGACCACACGTGCAGGACAGAACACTAAACAGCTGGGGAAGATGAGGTTTTGAGCAGCCATCATGCCATCAGGCAATGCAGATCACCCCAAATAAACACAAATTAGTGACAAGGGCCTATCACCAGATCCTCCAATTTTGCAAGGCATATCCTGAAATGGAAAAGAAGGGTTATTGCCTCTGAATTTGATTGTGAGGTACTGGTATATGGAAAAAAGAATGAGTTACCGTTACTTTAATATGCATGGGTTAAACATGGCACAGAAACCTTGCCTTGATATCACCAACCAGTATACAGTACTGAATACAAACTAAAATCTGACTTTTAATATGATACGATTTATGCAAGTTTGCCTTAACGTATACTTTGCGTAAGTCATATTAAATCTTCTGGTCCGAACTGATATGACTTATGTGAGTCTTACTGTAGGTTATTGGCTGCCATATCTACTTCATTCACCTCAGCGTTCACGAAAAACTTCAACCAAATGATAAATGAAACCCTCAGAAGTTTGGAAAATATTTTGTGTTAGCCAGGTGGATCTAAACACGTCTATTCACCTATTCCAATCTCTCCTTCACTATCTGTTCTTCAGAATCTCTGTGGAATAACCTCAATAATTATTTCTTCAAGAAACTCGTGATGTTGTTCAAAACTGTGTGTCAACACTTGCTCCAAAAGACATTTCAGAAGCAAACAAAATTTTCTGAAGATCTGCACAATTGTTTAAGGATTCTGCAGAAACTCTATGAGGTAGGTTCGGAATAAACACCTCTTGAGGACAGAAAGCCGAAACGTTTTGCGAAGAGCAATTATAGGACATACACCAGAAATGTATTTATGTTGAAGGAAAACAATAATAATAAAAATAATCCTTGCATTTAATATAGCGCCTTATCAAGTCGTTGAAGTGTCTCAAAGCGCTTTACAGAATATATTGTAAAGTGAATAGACTGCGTATTTTGTGGGCCAAAGCAGACAGAGCTAGAATACATTAATGGGAAGTTGAAGTCAGGATGCTTTAAGGGTTGTTTTAAAAAAAAATAGCTTAACGTTGCAATGGGAAGACACCAGCGTTTGTATTCTTTAAGAATGAAATGATTCATTCATGTGACTGAAGATTCTTTGGCAATGCAAAGTATTGTCAAAGTAGTGTTCACAAACTTTCCCTCCTCAGTTTTCAGGGGAATGCAACGTCCCTTTAAACAGCATCTTTGCAGTTCACAAAGTGACTGGCACCTGTACTGGACCAATCTGCTCATTCTTACTGCGTACTACAGATTTCACTGAGGCTCATTTGTAGGCGAACGCAGCAGCCAATTTACACACAGTAATGTTCCACAAACAGCCCTGTTGCGAGTGGCCAATGTTATACATAGGCTCATCCCTATACAAAAAGGCAAAAGGCACATGTCGAATCCTTTGATAAATAGCTAACCCTGAAACATTAACCTACTTTATTTTTAGACATTGATTTAACAAACAGCATGGTGAAACATTTATAAATTCTGTCCACAGGTGAATTGTTTTGCTGATCTTAAAGTTGCAGAGAGCAATTTCTACATTGCTCTCGCAGAAGTCTTCGGAATCTCAACTCTTCACATTGTAAGAAAATTCTGATACGATTCTTAGTTTTAGGGTTATACTATTTCCTTTGAAATTCATTACTGTGTCATCCCATAACTGGAGCTAGACTGAGGCGAGAGTTGATTTTAATAACAATAATAACGATCCTTGCATTTGATGTCGCGCCTAAATTCGTGTCAATTAAAACTGGGAAAAAAATTAACGTATCTATACGCTTATTAAGGTGTCAGTTTAGCTCAGTTGGTAGGGCTCTGGCCTCTGGCAGGTTGTGGGTTCAAGCCCCACATCAGGAATTCAGCTGCTCGACTGGGTTGACACTCGAGGGCAGGACTCCGAGAGTGCTGCGTTGTCAGAGGTGCCATCTTTTCCATCCAACAGAGGAAGGTTGATGATCTGACATGCAGCAGTCCCACTCTAAGGGCCTGAGTTCATGAACGTTGACAGTGAGGATGGTGACAGAGAGAGTGGGTGTTTGGCAGCACGCACATCCAAGTGCATTTTCTGCGCTTAAAATTGTAATGTACTCATTTTGTACTAAGAGTGGGCAACTTGCGACAGTGATAACTATCTCTGGTTAAGCACATCGCTGGTGACACCGAGAACAAGGGCAAAGTTTGCAATTGTACGTGCGTCTGTGAGGCCGAACAACCGTCCCACCTCCAGAACTGTTTTCTCACGCCTCTTTGCTTTTCCGATCAGCCTCTTTCTTTACGTTTGATCGAGGCAATAGATTTAGTTGTTTGAATTGCAGCCATTAGATCTGCTTTAAATCTTCAAAGTTTCAGTTTTATAATTACCTTATGGCAGCTTATTCAGCAAAGAAATGTGAAATTCCCACTTTTCCCAGTCTTGATTTACAATATTTCAGAGCAGAAGCCTTGGGTCTCTCTCTCTCTCTCTCTCTCGCTGAAATTTTTTCTCTCTTTCTGTGCCTCTCTTTCTCAGATGGTGTCTCTCCACCTTTCTTTCCCTCTACCCTGTACTTTCATCAGATCTCTCTACCTTGGGCTGCTGGTCTAAAAGCGCACTCGGGGAAAATCATGCCAAGGGTTAAGATACAACCACAATTAAAGATTTTCTCTGACATTTCAGCACTGTTTTTATTCTGTGATTTCAGCTCAGGTGCAGGTAAACTTGCATATAGTAATGTATAAATAATAATCCTACCATTTGATATAGCGGCTTATCACGTCTTCGAGATTTCTCAAAGCGCTTCACGGAATATACTATAAAGTGAATTGACTGCATATTTTGTGGAAGAAACGCATGTGGCAATCTGGTGTCCTGATGTACAGCAGATTTGCTCTACTGTATTAATATGGATTGGACTATTTTCATGGGAGTTTTTCATGTGATCATTTTAGTGAGACTGAAAATCAAAGATGCCAATCAACGACTGCCCATTAGAATTTTAAAATATCTTTTGTGTCCTCAGGACTCAGTTCTGGATTTAATTAAGTATCCTTGCATCATTAACATGGAAACGAAAGTTGAAACTTTCAACAATCTCTGCGCGGTAAGTATCGCTCAATAAATGAATTTGATCAGCACTGATTTGCCGCATGATGATAGTTGGAAGAACTACTCTCTTCCCACATATTATTATTATTAGTAATATGTAGTATCATTGTTATCATCATTATTGTTATTATTATATGATCTTATTGTCTAACACTATTGCAATATTTATTCCAGTTCATAAGGAATTTGCCTGAGAACGAGCCTAATCAATGCTTGTTGGTGGTTAGAAGGTCGATGATTATTCAAGACACTTTGAAACAATTAATGATGTTTGATAAAACAACACTTCAACAGCAACTTCAGGTAGAAAGCTATTCCTTTGCCTGTGTATGCAGATTTGCAGTCGGTTCATAAAAATAAGAATGCTGCATTACTTGAACGCTCAAAATAATTGTTTGAATTTACAATTATTTTGAGTTGCACTGAATCTGTATTGATTTCCATATTAACTGATGGACTTAGATTGATAGTTAGTGTGTTTGTTGGTTTTTCCATTTGTTGCAACTTTGAAGATTGAGAAGATAGTTGTCTTAAACCTTCAAAAAGATGATTCATTTACATAATAATGATTCTTGCATTTGATCAAACACCTTTCATGTCAGGAGGATGTCTCAAAAACACTTCACAGAACATATTGTAAAGTGCAGGAACTGTGTTTTTGTGGGAAAACATATTTGGGGTGAGGTAGGATCAGAGGTGGGCAATGTGGCAGAGGTGGAGGAAAGCGGTCCTGGTCAGGGACCGAATGTGTGGTAGGAAGGAGACCAGTGAATCAAAATGGACCCCAAGGTTGTGCACAGATTTGTAAGTTTGAGACGTGGACCCACAAGAACATCAGAAAGTGATAACTGTGGCGCTGTGGCATCTTGTGTCACAGAGCACGCACGCAGCCAAGCGGCGGCGGGAACAAACTAAAGAACACAGACGAAGTTAAACCACGGCAACAGTATCAAAATTACATTTTTAAAGTGCCGAGTCCTCCCAATGAATCCTCGCAAAAGGAGTCCTCCCACAGGAGTCCCCCCAGATGAATATAGATAAGGATAAAATGTGTGTCTGCTTGTCAATCTCCATTCCATATTGAATCCTTTGGTTGAAGCAAAGCTGCAATGGGTACAGCTAGTATATTTTTTTTATATATATATACAAGCCTTGCAAGTGAGAAGATGTGCTTTTAATTCCCGGCTGGGTAAAACCTAGGCAAGTTTTCTTATGCCTTTGATTACTTAGCAGTAAGTAAGAACCCAGTTGTTAGATTGGCAGATTGGCTTTCTGGGGGTAATAATCCCTCCCCTCACAAACATTTTGGTTACTCAATCCACAACTGTTTTGGGGCACTGCTGTGTGCAATTGGCTGCCACGTTTGGCCCACAAAACACACAGTCTAATCCACTTTACTGTGAAGCGCTTTGAGACGTTTGAACAACTTGATAAGGTGCTATATCAAGTGCAAGGATTATTATCATTATTATTAAAGAGAGGAATACTCATCAGTAGTAAGGTCCCAATTCACTCAGCTCTCCCCATCCCCCCAACAAACACACACAATCATCTCATATATAAAATCAGCAACATACACTTCAATCTGACTTCTTCACTTTCAATGAGTGATCGAAGGGTTTAACAGGAAATAAATAAGCACATATAAAAGATTGGACTTCTGATCCTGATCTATTCATTGCTGTTGTTTCAGGTCATATTTGAAGGTGAATTTGCCGAGGATTATGGTGGGGTTTCCCAGGAATTTTTCTCTGTCATTACCAAGGAACTTTGTGTCCATCAGAACATATTCAAGCACTATGAAGACTCCAGGCTAATTTGGTTCCCTGAGTGGGTAGGTGAAGATGAGAGGAGCACAACATTGTCTCTCACCTGTGTGACGTCTCAATGATGTGATGAGGCGCTATATCAAATGCAAGGATTATTATTATTCCTTGATCCCATCTGCTCCACCATCAGCTGCTGTGCTTTCAGCCACTATGCACCGAATCTCTGTCCTTCTGCCTTGGAAGCCTATCTTCAGATTTAATATGAAGATTTTCCTCTTCAACCTTGCCTAGGGTCACCTCTTGTTTCTCCCCAGCTCAAAATCAAAGTACACCGTTGTTAAGCGCTCCGAGATGTGAGCCTGTGTGAAGGTTGCTTCATAAATATAAGCTGTTGTTGGAGTAGACACAAACAATGAAGAGCGAATGAACAATTAATCTGGAGGATTGTTACCGGCACATTATGAACAATTTATGTCTCTTTCTACAGTGTCACGGTATTTATTCTCACTGTCCATCTGAATATGCAGACTTTGATTTTAATGTCTCATCCGCACAATAGAACCTCCAACAATCCACCTGTGACCCAAAGCCAGCCGAGGCAATAAGATCAAGTCTTGAAATTGGGCTTCACTCATAACCAAAGCTTTCTAACTTAGAGACAAGTGTTCTGGTGCAGGAGCTAGCCTCAGCACAGACACGACGGGCTGAATGGCATTCCTCCTGCGCTGTATACATTCTATGTAGCTCCTACAGTATTGCCCAAGTTGCTAATTGCAAGAGTCCTCTTGTATTTGGCTCAACCCTCGTAGTGTTTCTGCCCTTGTTTCTCACTTATTCATGAATGACTTGTTGCCATTTGATTGGAGAAAAACATAAACACCGTGTGCCAGCACATATAAACCACCACACGTCATAGATTCATGTGAACGAGGCCATTGCAATGTGTCACATTGTACTTGTACTTATATAGTGCACTTCACAGAGGATAACTCGCATCGCTTTACAGGGATGCGGTTGTTTGCCAAGCAAGGGAGAGGGGGGATGTCGAGGAGGTGTGTGCCAGTCGCTAACACTGGGAAACCTCATCATCAAGATATAATGAAAGGAAAGCGCTGTACAAATTTCTGCTGAGATTTTGTGGAGGAGGATTTACACTCTCTGTTTTAAAACAGGAGCCCAAGTTACCAGGAGTGTTTCGCCTGGTGGGAATTCTCTGCGGAATCGCTCTGCACCACGGTTTTGTGGCAAACTTTCACTTCCCATTGGCCCTGTACAAAAAACTACTCAATGTGCAACCAACAATAAAAGACCTGAAGGAATTGTCCAAAACAGAAGGGAGGTGAGTGGAAATAAAAACAAAAGAAAGAACAAAACAGAACTAGTCTTTCACATAAATTCCCCCTCTCAATTTTCCCTCTGTTAGGGTATAGTTCCGCAGGTGCTGAGTCCCTTTCAGTATATCGCAAAGTCATTATCCACGTGTGAAACTGAATGCTGCCAAGCTCTTTGAAAAATCCAATCGGTCCTCATCCGATGTCAATACTGGAGTCCTGTAGCTCAGTGGTTAGAGCACTCGCCTCGCAAGTGAGAGGACCTGGGTTTGATTACCGGCAGGGCAGAATGTTTCCTTACACCACACTCCTGTGTTTACCCAACAGTAACTAGAAACCAGGCTGTAAGCCGATTGACGGATCGCTTTTCTGGGGGCTAACAAACCCTTTAAAATGTAATAGCGATAATAATTTTGTCGCTCAATCCGTGACTGTTTGTGGGACGCTGCTGTGCGTAATTGGCTGCTTCATTTTGCCCACAAAATATACAGTCAATTCGCTTTACAGTATATTCTGTGAAGCGCTTTGAGACGTCTCGAAGACGAAATAAGGCGTTATATCAAATGCAAGGATTATTATAACTAAATAATGGAATACTCTCTTTTTGAGTTTTCTGTTCACTAAACAACACACGCACCACACATTTGACCCCAGTATTTACAATTGCCATAAAATACACTTTACAATAAAACCCTGTGAAGCACTTTGAGACATGCTCTCAATTTGAAAGGCAAGGATTATTATTATTATGATTATTATTAGGTTATTACAGTTTAAATCACTCTGTAAAGGTAATTTCTAAGTGGCTTTCAGTGATGGGTCAGTCAGACCAATAACACTGCCAAGTTACATATGAATGAATGGATGTTATTTAGTATGTTTGAGCTTCCTAAAATAGCTACATTTTGCAGGAGGTTTTTATTTTGTTCATCAGGTATTTTGTCAAGCCATTACCATTTTATTCTTATTCTAATCAACAAATAATAATAAATCACTGGTATTTGCATTGTTTGCGCTTTCAAAAGCATGCAGTTAAATGCAACTTTTTAAACAAAAATATTCTGGACACATTTTCATAATTTCATAATCTTCTCATTTTGTTCCAGGAATCTCGATGACCTTTTACATGATGAGTCCAGTAATGTCGAAGAAGTCTACGGTCAATATTTCGTAGTATGTTTACCTATGTAACGATCCTATTATTCACTTGTTTTCAAAATCGCATTGCCACTTGCTTCCTTTCCTCATATCTACTGTAATATTTTCTCCTCGCTGCAATTCATTTCACCGATTACCACATTTTCTGCCTAACAGAAGAGAGAAAATCTGTAATGGCTTCTCGTTCCATACCCACACAATCACATGCAATGTTTCTCCTGCTCCATCCTTTGCCCTCTCCTTTCCACCATCTACACGCTCCAACTTGGTGATATATCGTCCTCAGGCACATTTCCAACGTGTAAAGATGACACCCAACTAATAGCCCTCTCACTTCTGAGTCAGAAGGTTGTGGGTTCAAGTCTCATCATACCTGGACTTGAAACTCATATGAGTCTCGGGCTCTAGGCTGAAGCTCCAATGCAGTGCGAGGAGTGTGGTGCATTGTTGGAGGTGCCGTCCTTCAGATGAGAAATTAAACCGAGAGCCCATCACCTGCTTGTTCAGGTGGATGTTAAAAATCCCCATGGTGTTGTTTGAAAAGAGAAGGGCATTGGGAAATGCAAATAATAAATTCGGAAACCAATACAGTTTGGGTCATCGCTATTTACTGTCAAATTCTTCCACAATATTGCCACCCAAGCACCTTTGTAATATAGCGTACTCGTTGTTTTAATCAGAGGTATACTGACTATTGCTTTATTGCCATTCTTTACCTTATTCAAGATATGCAAAGAAACAGATGATCATTTCAAAATTCAGCATGAACTTATTCCAAATGGTCAAAATATCCCAGTGGAAAAGCACAACAGGTAATTTCAAGGTTATTTTATGTAAAAAAAAATAATATCCCCAGACTGGTCATTTGTCTTGCATTGCACTCCACCTTAAGTTGTGTGATTGTGAGAGAAGTGGAGCTTTTAGTCTGAAAATGACCTCGGGATAAAACTCCTTGAGAAGGTGTCGGGTCTGTTTAGGTTTACATACCGTCTTCTTCCCCCCAAATTCTCACTATTTCTCTCCTTTTCTAAAAATGCTGGACACAACAGGCAAGTACAATGCTGTACAAGCACAAACAGTGTCCACTCATGGTGCTCGCTGTGATCTCCAGCACGTGAATCTATCCTCCTCAAAATCTAACTCATGCGGTGAAGGGAACATCAAAGCAAGGCACGCTTGATGTACAAAATGCAAGCAGAGGAATCAATTCCAGGATTTCTTGAACTGATTCCAAATGCAAAATGCGCAATTGATCTAGATGAGTTTTCTTTTCTTACTTCGTGCTATTGTACAATTTAGCTGGATGTAACACACTTTACTGCACCAACGTCACATTTCCATCTTCCACAGCCATTTCTCTAGTGCTAATACTAATTCCCACTCTCACAAATTATGGTACGTCACCTGATTAAGTCATGGCAATATTTTAGCCACTTGCTGTGTTAGGAAATGGAAAGCTAAGCATAATAATCCATTCCAATTTATCATTTTAAATACACCTGGCCCCAGGTGATCCCACAATCTCCACGTTGAACTCTATCGGACATGATCTTGAGGCTTGACATTTTGGAAGCTCAGGCATTTGCAGAACGGTCATGAGAATATCCAGTTTGGTTGATGTCTGTTTCAGAAAACAGTTTGTCGATGCCTATGTGGATTATATCTTTAACACGTCTGTCGAGAAACATTTCAAAGCTTTCGCAGAAGGATTTCGGAGTAGTTTTCCAAAACCCATTTTAGACGTATTCCTACCTGAAGAACTCATGGCCGTTGTCCATGGAAACACCAAATATGAGTGGGAATTATTGGAACAGGTGAGTCACTCTGTTTCTTGTGGTTCTCCATAATTACTGGTGTTCATGTTTTTGACTATTGCTTTGTTGTATACACAGTAATTGCACGCAGTGGGTTTTCTGAGACACTGATTTACCAACCTTGGCAATCTTTCCATAATATGTTGGTGCGGTGATAGCAAAGTGGCTAATTTCTGAACCATTACGTCAATGACAGTGGCAACCTGATGAACCAGAAGTTGACCATTTTCACATTCTGTCTTTCTGCGTACAAATGTTGACTCGCATCCGTTATAACCCTGGTTGGGGTTCTATAGACACCAAACTGCCATGTTATAATTGGAGTCACTGCAAATGGGAAGCAGCCACTCATCATAAAAGCTAAATTGGTGAAAGTGAGTTGGATCCAGAGACTAAACTCTGAGAGTAAGAAGCTGTAAGGACAAAACACAGCACACTTCAAGTGTGGCTTAACGAGGATCCCAAAACACACATACCGTAGTTAGTCCTCAAATCTGGTTTAGATTTGTTTTGACAACATTTGTTTTAATTTTAAAACTGAGATATTTCAACATAAGACATTTGTATTTCATGTCAATTATAAATTATTGTTTGCTAACAGCAAGCAAGTTACACAGGGTACACAAAAAGTGACCAATACATCGTGGATTTTTGGACCATGTTTCATCAGCTGCCAAAGAAAAAGAAGAAGAATTTTCTTGGTAAGTTGTCTTACATTTTTGAACTATGTAGAGCTGATATGTATGTAGTGCTTTCATGGAGAGCTGTTTATTCTCAGATGCATATTTCATTTGAAAGTGGCAGGAATACAGCTGTGTTGTCAACAAAAAAAATAAATATTTGAGTGAAATTTCTGATGCTCCGTAAAGTATATTTTTGTGGAATTTTTTACTTAACGTTCACCTATGTAGAATCACCACACAGATAAATATAGCCATGAACACAAGTTTATCAGGATTTTATTTTGTTTGCATCAGTAATTTTGGTGCTGTCTGCCTTGTAAATCAGGTGCACCTTAAGGGATGTCCTGCTGCTATTTGAAAGAAATGTGGAGTCCTTCACCCGGTTGTTCAGTTTTACATTCAGTCCCAATCTAAACTCACCGCAATCAAATGAATCAGCTACACATTTTGTTCTTCGAAGGCTGTTTGGCCCAACTGATCTCATCCCTCAGAAGCCTTATCCTCACAATCCCCATCACTGTGTCAAGCTGCTTTTGAAATGAGTCCAGTGGTCTGGTCTCTACCACCTTTCCAAGAAATGAGTTCCAGTTGTTGCTTACCCTTATTCATAAAGAAAAACATCCTGTGTCCGTCCTGAAATTCCCTTTTACATCTCTAAACCCATGTTCACTTATTCTCCTGTCTTGATACATCCTAAAGTATTGATATGGGTTTACTCTTTTAATCCCATTTGAAATTTGATGCACTTTTATGAGGTTCCCCCTTTGAGTCATCTTCTCTCGAGACTGATCGCTGAACTGTAGCGTTTGCCTCAATTACAGCACTCGCTCTATTTCAAATCAATCACATTTTGGAAAGTACTGCGAGATGTTCCTTTCATATGAAGGAAATGCAAGCCATAGAAATGTAAGTTTCTGAGTGTGACTGTTGGGCGGGGACAGAATTATACAGTCCCACTTTACGGTCAAATAGCTTGGCAACATTCGCTGGGACCTTATACGTCAATCAATAAGCAATGCAGTCTTTGCGCGACGTCTTTGTACTGTGGAATCTAGTTGTACAGAAATAATTATTTAAGAAGCAAAATGGAATTTGATAGCCCCTCTCTCCCACTGTCAGCAAAGGCTGTTTGTGTCAATGGAACTACAGCCTGGTAACTATCAACACAGTCAGTGGGGGGGAAGGAAAACGGGGGGGAATTACGCCAAGAAAAAAGAATAGTGAATAGATGCATAACCGAACAATACTTTACCTTGGATACATTCATATCTTGGATTATTAATGTCTATGTCTCTTTCTCATCCTTAGCCTTCCTGACGGGATGCGATAGGATTCCAGTAGGAGGAATGGGAACCCTCAAAATCGTCATTAACGAGTTAAGAATATTTAACCCGGATTTATACTATCCTATTGGCCACACCTGCAACAAGACCTTGGATCTGCCCAGATACAGCAATATTCGGAAACTAAGAAAAAGGTTCCTTCGTGCAATTGAGTCATACGAAGTATTTGGTATTCAGTAATACCTGTAACCGGAGATTGTTTCTTCAAACATTTAAACCATTCGAAGAATTTGCAATCGAAATATTATGTAGAGGAGCCGGCACAAGCCTCATTTCTTTTTAGCACACAAACTGTTGTATATACATTTACAAAGGAATGATTCTCAGTTAGTTATCAATTTTCAATGCTAACACACTTGGCTAAGGCAGAGTGAATTTTGTGATCAATTGCCCACACTACTGCAAAGCATAAATGGGAATTGATATAAAGACATATGACTTATGCACAGGACTCTTCCTACTCACCTCTTGTTAATTCTGCAACAACAACAACACCACCATCACCAACAAAATTACATTTGTATAACGCCTTTCATGTCGGGAGGCACCTGGTCAATGGACAAAAACTGCTGTTTTTCTTCTATCTTACTTGTGTGGGCTGATGACTGTGGTAGTAATTTGTATTCTTCTAGTCTCTATAGTAATGCCGTAATGATTCCTGACAATTGCTGTATTTTTCTGAACCCTCTGCTTTGAAGCATAAAGCCGAGTGGGATAAGTGCAATGTGCTCAATGGCTACACATGAGCCACCTTTTTTTGTTTTACTTTTGGAAATTGTGCAAGGTTATGGTACTGGATTGCTCACCGCTGACTCCATAAATACCGGATTAGTTAGTAATAAATCTAAAAAGGACGTTTGCACAGGAGGTGTTGAGAATGTGGCCCTGTGTGCCTGATTATTATATTACTTTTCTGTCTGTAAATAAACTTATTTGCAGTTAATTGGTAAACCTGTGTTAGATTGTAATATCTTCCAATAGAAATAAACCGCATATTGGAGATTACGCAATGAAATATTGAGGATTACATGGTAGATCCTGTAAAAAAAAAAAATCGACAGCCGGGTGTCTGACACATGCGGAAACCCATCACCGTGCTTAAGGGTATCCAAGCCAAGCTGAGACTTCCAGGCCTCCCACCTACACATGGAAATTGCAGAGATAGATTGTCGGAATGCAATGAGCCCCCTCTCTCTCTCCCCGGAGGGACGCATCCTGCTGACCTAATTCCTGAAAGCATTAGGCAAGACTCAAGGCTTGGGGACTCCAGAGTGTGCGTTGGGGTAACTGCTGGAGTCTGACCAGCTAAAACCACACAGCTTGCCATTGATATCACTGTTTGTCCAGCTAGGATCACTCTACCCCTCAGGGCTTTGACTTGTGGGGTTAACGACACGGTCGAAGACATTAGAAGGGGACATTGGAACCAAGAACAGTACCTGAAGTCATACTCAAGACTGCTGATAATTGTATTCAGAAGTACTTAATTGTATTCAAGCGTTTAGCTGTATTTAGATGTTCAGACGTCCAGAAGATAGGTCTCGTATCGTTGTTTTGTAACGGGATGGGGTGGTGGGGGGTTAGGTGGTAACAGGTCTTTGTGGACACTCTGTGCAATGAAGCAACTGAACACTAGTCACTCAGCGCCATCTGGTGCCGCACAGGAGCAAATAAACCAGGTTGAGCCACAACCTGCTCATTAAATTTTTCCCGTTTCCTAAGTTGTTCGATTTTTGATTCTATTGTAAAAAGTCGTTGCTCGCATCTCTTTCCTTCTCTCCGTTCAGACGCGCTCTCTGGTCAGACACACTTTTTCTGTACTCTTGTCATGTGCTTGGCAACTGATGCGTCAAAACCGATTCAATCCTCTACGTCTCGGCAATCTCATTCCTGAGCCGGGGCGAACTCCCTGTCTTTATCCCTCTGCTTCGCTCCCTCTTTCTCTATCTTCAAATCCCACCTCAAAACTTACTTCTTAGTCGGAGCCTAAGGTCACCTCCCACTTCCTCTCTTGCTCTCTGTCCAATCTCATCCCTGTGAAACACTCCAAGACATTCTCCTATGTGAAGGACACTATATAAATACAAGTTGTTCTCACCACTGCATCAAGCTATTTTATAAATGACTCCAGTGTCCAGGTCTCCACCACCCTTCCTGGCAACCCTGTTCCATTCATTAATTACCTTCTGGATAAATAAATACTTATTTTTATCTGCCCTTTCCAACTCGAAACCTGTGCCTTCTTATTCCACTGTCTCAGTGCGTCCTAAAGTATTGTTCTGGGTTTACTTTTCAACCCATTTAAATATATATCATAGGTTTGAGATGTCTACTTTCAAGATTGAAGAACCCTAGTTTATAATGTGTAATAATCCTTTCACTTGATATAAGCACCTTACCACATTATCAACCCATCTCAAACACTTTGCAGAATATACTGTAAAGCGTAGTGTAGACTTTTGGGTGAACCCAGCAGCCAATTTGCACTCAGCAATGTCCCACAAACAGCCATGAAGTGAATAACCAATTGGTTGACCGGGACACCGGGAAAAAACTCTCTCTTTTCGAATAGTGCCATGGGATCTTTAACATCCACCTGAACAGGCAGACGCGACTTTGGCTTAACACCTTATCCAAAAGATGGCAAGTCAGCAACATCCACTCCAATGGGTGGGAGCATTAGGAATGCTCCTCCTGATGAGGCAACTGTTTGTGACTGTGCCGTTTTTATTTAATTCTGCAGGTTTTACATTCCATATACACAGTGTACACTTCAGCTGCAATTTAATAGCCACTTTACAAATCCTGTCTCTCTAAATACACGGTCCTAAAGTGGGATCTCATTATTAGCCACTGGAACTCAGCCAGTGAAAACATCTTTGTTACTTCCCCCGAATGCCTACCTTACTGCAAATAGAAACCAGGATTGGTTCCTCCTAAATCATTTTGTTTCATCCCACCGTTCACTTCGTGTGATTAATGTGTTCCTCCAGCGAAAATCTGATGCAATCCTAAGAGGCTTTGTATTAGCACAGAGGTGGCAGCTCCAACACTAGTATTAAATAGGCTATAATTTCAGTATAATTGAATACAGTATAATTGAATCAAACTTTGTGTTGGATTTATTTACACTCCCAGTTTATTTTCACTCCCAGTTTAATCCTTTGCTGTGAAACCCAGGCGGCACGGAACAGGGAAGTTGATACGCTCAGCAAATGTTGTCCCTGTGTTACTTCAGCCTCAAGTAGCAGTGCTATGTGTTAGAAAAATATCAACGTTAAAGATATGGACCGAATCCAGAATGTTAAGAGTAGATGTGCTCATCCATCACCGAGAATCAGAAATAGGTTGCTTGCGGCAACGCTGCATTCCAAGCAGGACATGGATGCATCGCACAACATAGATTGATGTCAGGCATGTTTTCCTGTGTTCAAAACTGGAGGCAGCAAGTCTTAACCCAGCGAGTTACGTGGAGGGGGTGGCATGATTGTTATTGGTTTCTCTGCTTGCCACCCTCTGTTGTACTGTAGCTTAGTTTGACCCAACATGGCTGTCTGCCTCCACCGAACAAAAACGATGTGAAACTTGACAAGGTGACTTTTAGGTGATGGAGTTTAATGGCAAGCCAATTATCTTCTGCGAATACGTGAGTGCACCTTCAGCCAGATCTCATTTCTACTATGCCGTCTGCCTGGGCACATAGCACAGTGAATTCTAATACATAGCGAATTCTAAATTGACTGCTATTTAAACGGGTGTGGGAGGGAGGGAGGGAGGGAGGGAGGGAGAGGCAAGCCGGGGGTACTAACATATACAGTATGGCTGTGCAGTAATGGGCAGCTAGGCAGACTGTGACACACATGCTATTTAAGACCTCGTCAGTTAATGTGTCCTATTTAATGTGCTTGTCATTTTTGTTCAATACAACAGGACGATGATTTCCTAGTAGAAGATGGGTCCGATGAAGAGGATCAGCTCAGCCTAGGAGACGATTGCATGTTTCTACTGACCTTTTTCAGTGAGTTCACCCTGCTGTCGTTTGTCTCACAGGAACCCATGAAACAATCCGATTTTGATCCATGTCATTTCAGAAGGGAGCCGGCTTTCCCTCGGAAAACAAAACATCCAGTTATAATGTCCTTGGCGTCACTTGCTGTCAAGTGCATTCCACAACCATACCACTTTACAGTCTATCCTGTGATGCACTTGAGACGCATCTCAGGATAGACTGTAAAGTGGTGAGCTGACGTGATAAACTCTACAACAGGCGCAAACATTATTATTATTATTATCATTATTGCCTCACACTGTGCAATGGGCTTCGATGCTGTGGTTACCTTCAATTTTATTCATTGACATGTTAAGACAATGAAACCTCAAACATACCAATCTCCAATGGGTTTCTTTCATAAGGAATCCGAGTCACCGAAGGGAACATAAATATGTCACACCAACCTGCTGCGGGAACTCCACTCTGACCTGATCTCCTTCAGAGTCTGTGTGACATAATTCACCTTAGTCCTTATTTGCAGCTCAGAGTCATTATTAAGGAATCTGGTTAGAAATTGTTGCGTGTTTTGCCTATGATTGGAAGGAGAGTTGCAGTGAATAGCGTTATCATTATCATAAGGACGGATTTTCTGAACCTTTGTGTACAGTGGTTCCAGACTGGTTGGAGCTGAATATCAATCTGACTTCTAGAGAATGTTTTTTTCCCTCTCGCCTGCTTTAGGACAAGGTTGCCATGGCATTTTTAAAAAGATGCAAGCTTTTCTCACCCCAATATTTGAATAATTTAAGATTATTTTTCACAGCCATTCTTGAACTGAATCTATTATGTGTCTGCTTCTAAGACAGAAGGCTGCCAGATATTTGAGAGCAGCGTAAATCTACGCTGAGAGACCAGGGGAAAGGGAGGACTGAGAAAGAGAGCACAGAACACGATTGCTGGAGGCTAGAGGGAAAGTCTTTTGTTTGCAAGAAGATTGGATAGGTTTGGGGATTAAAACACTAACTTTGCTTAGATAAGATCAGTCTGCATTGGGCCCAGAGAGTTGAGATGACCGTCTCCTCTTTCTGTTAACTATTAAAAGCAAATACCTGTCGCAGTATTTTATTACGGCAGCCATATCCAGTGTCTATTTACTTAACAATGCCAGCGGATTGTAAATCAGAGGAGTTTGACCAGGCTCACTCTCCATTGGGTGCAGTCGATGAAGCGTGAACGATATCCAAAGGAGCAGTACAATAGCAACTTACATTATATACCAGCCTTCACGTGGGATCATCTCTCGGCACGTTTCACAAGGACAATGTCAGTTTCGGAGCAGGGAAGGAGGGAGCAGGTGACCATAGACAGAGTGAAAGAGATTTAAAGACAGATAGAGAAGGAGGTGAGATGTAGGCGCAGGCGGAGGGTATTTTAATGGGTGGGGAATAGTTGCTGAAGGCTCAGCTATCAATAATAGTAATCCTTGCATCGGATACAGCGCCTTATCACGTCTTCGAGACGTTTCAAAGCGCTTCACAGAATAGACTGTCAAGTGAATTGACTGTGGGACAATGGTGGGATTAGTGTAGGTAGCTCTGTTGGGGAAGCTAGCACAAGCAGAAGGCACATGGAGTATACAACGGGGCTGTAAAGGTAAATAAGATGCCGTGAACAACCTCGATGTAAACACTCCTCCAGAGATGCAGTTCACCATGATGCTGTGGGTTGGCTGAATGTTGAGCCAGTTGTGTGGCCTGTACCTCCTCTTCCCAAGCACCTGGAATGAACGGAATGAACGTCAAACAATTGTGCAACCGTCCTACAATACAGGGTGCCCACAAAGTCCTACTTACCCCCCCGTTATAAAACAGTGCTTTGAGACCAGGGAGGAGCTGAAACAAGTTGTCAGCGATGCATTTCCCTCGTCACTCTATCCATGTTATGGAAGTGTCACAATGAACACGGTGACAAATTATTATCTGCCATAAAAATGATGGCACTCACACTGATCCTCTGGACGTCTAAGTACAGTTAAACACTTGTGCCGAATTAAGAACTTCTAAGTACAAGTATCATTATTCTTCCACGTGTGTTTCAGTTGTCGGTCAGTGCGGTGTAGGGGGATAAAAAAGATAACAGGACTTGGTGGACACCTTGTAGATCTCGGAGGAGACGTCCTTGTTATTGAATGTGATTATCTTCTGATCTCATCGCACATTGCAGTGCACTATTCCACGTTTCGTGAAACGCACGATACAAATGTAATCTTGTTTTTTTTACCTCTCAAAGCCGCTTAAACCCTTCCCGAAACTAATGATTCATTTCACTTCCTTTGGTTTTTAGTTGCTTTCGTCTTCAACTGGATTGGATTTTTTTTGTCCTTCTGCTCAACCAATACCATTGCGGGCAGATATGGTGCCATCTCTGGGTTTGGCCTTTCACTTCTTAAGTGGATCCTTATCGTGAGGGTAAGTGGACATGTCTTCGTTACTGCCTTGATACGTGCTGCGGTTCCCACATTGCCATCCTGCCTAATGCAATTCATTCTCAAACTGGATTTGTTGCATCACAACCAGACGTTCACTTTTCTCTGCTTGTTTTTATCGTATTTGTTAAGTGTGAGAACACGTGAAACATAGGTGTCAGCCGGGCCTCAGTTAATAGCACTCTCGCCTGTGAATCAAAAGGTTGTAGTTTCAAGAAGGACTGTGAGCTCATAGACTAGGCTGACATTTTTCGCTGAAAGAGCACTGCCTTGTCAGAGATCCTGTGCTTTGGAGGGCCCTTCAAGTGGACATTAAAGATCCCATGGTATTATTTGAAAAATGAAGGGAGTTTCTCCTGTGCTCCCAGCCAACCAAACATTCACTTTTCCCTGGTTGGTCCTGTCTATCATACTTGTTAAGCGCTTGGAGACATGTGAGACTTGGGTGTCAAGCCCGGCTCGGTTTGTAGCATTGTGGCTTCCGAGTCCGAAAATTGTGGGTTCAAACCCCATGTAGAAAAAAATTCCAGATAATAATAATCATCATCATAATATAATAATCCTCACCTCCTTCAAGATCCATCTCAAGACCCTCCTCTTTGATCGTACGTTCGATCACCCTGCTTCACCCCCCCTGCCCTCCACCCACCCTCCCCGATCCCAACCCCCAGCTCGGGTCCGAAACTCTGACTGTCCAGCGCCTTGGGATGTCCTCCCGACATGAAAGGAGCTTTACATGTGTAGTTTTGTTGTTGTTGTATTTGGGATGGATTTCAATTTATATTGCAATTGGATTGCAGTTTATATAAGCATTCTTTTATTTACAGTTCTCTGACTATTTTATCAGCTATTTTGAAGAAAATGTTTGGCTCTGGTGGATTTTCTTTGCTCTTGGTGAGTGACATTCTCTTGTCGTACCTTTTGACAGGTTTACTTTGTTCGTAACTGCTCTGATCTCCTGATAATATAGAAAATGTCAATGTGAACTTGTGTTGCAATTAAAATCATTGCAGAGTCCTGACTAAATTTGTGAGCTAAACCTCCCTCAAAACTGAATGGTCATAATTATCCAAGATGGTTTCTAACTGTCTCCTGTGTTTTCAATACTTCCCTTTGAAACCATTTCCAAGGAGTCCCAAGCGTAGTGGTTAACACGCTCGCCTCGCAAGCAAGAAGACCCGGGTTCAATCCCTGGGCCGGGCAAAACCTTAGGCAGGTTTCCTCACTCCACTCTCCTCTGTTTACTTAGCAGTGAGTAGAAACCCGGTTGTTAGTCGATTGACGGATCATTTTTCCGGCGGTAATAATCCCTCAGAAAAAAAATCTGGTCACTCAATCCACGACTGTTTGTAGAAGATTGCTGTGCGCAATTGGCTGCTGTGCTTCACCCATAAATTACACGGTCAATCCACTTCACAGTATATTCTGTGAAGCGCTTTGAGACATCTCAATGAGGTGATGAGACGCTATATCAAATGCAAGGATTAGCCTTATTATTAGTATTATTATTACAATACTGTACACAGTGCATTTTTGTGTTTACCTTATAACCAGTCATTAGTGAAAGTTAATAAGTTATCCTCTGCCTGAAGTTAGTAATGATGGACACTGTTGCTCCTACTTAGCAATTGCAAAAGTAAATTCTGGTCTGACGTCTTCTGAAAGTCGTATCATGAGACCTTTGAAGGCACACTGAGCCTACATACATGACAAGCATAAGACAGTGGCTGTCATCCTACGAGCGCACACAACAGTAAATAACCAGCCGTCAAGTCATCCATGCATTGGTTCATCTGCAAAACTAGCATCAGACATGATGCACAGAAAGTCTCAAACAATGATAGGATAATATAAGCATTGCTGCCCTCTTGCAAAACAAAAACAACTTGTATAGCACTTATCACGTAGTGTAGATTAAAGACTGGAAGATAGCTACCAGTTAAGAGACAGTGACAATAATTGAGGACTCCTGCATCTTACTGGTTAGAGCACTCGCCTCGCAAGCGAGAGGACCTGTGTTTGGCTGGGCGAAACATTAGGCAAGTTTCCTTACTCCACACGCTCCCGTTTACTTAGCAGTAAGTAGGAACCCGGTTGTTAGTCGATTGGCGGATTGCTTTTCCAGGGCTAATAATCCCTTCAAAAAATAAATAAATAAATAATAATTTGGTCACTCAATCCAAGTCTGTTCGTGGGGACGCTGCTGTGCGCAATCGGCTGCCGCGTTTCGCCCACAAAATACACAGTCAATTCACTTTATAGTATATTCTGTGAAGCGCTTTGTAAACGTCTTGAAGACGTGATAAGGCGCTACATCAAATGCAACGATTATTATTATTGTTATTATTATTATTATTATCTAACCTTACTTATCACGTAGCTCAATTCTAGACTTGTTGCCGCTGCCATGAAAATCAGTGGTTGTGAAGCCAGTTTGGGCAACATAATGACGGGGTGACTGAGAACCTGCAATAGAGGATAAGGCAGACTATTACAGTGAGAGGGCGCTGTAGGCAGCTGGACAAATATCAGTAACAAGAATTTTTAACCTGGTTAAAAATAACCATAAAAAATTAAAAAATGCTCCGAAACATTATTCTATGTGGGAGGCATCATATAAGTGGAAGTTGTCGTTGCTATTAGATCATGGGGTGGGGGGGAGTGGACATGAGCAGAAACATTATTGACCTTTATGCCAAAAGAAACCTCACTTGGTTCTAATTTATGATGCCTGCAAACTGCAGTTTCTAAAAGCCACCAAAGTGCAGCTGGAGAGGAAAATAATCATAATAATAATAATAATTCTTGCATTTGATATAGCGCCTTATCACGTCTTCGAGAAGCCTCAAAGCGCTGAAAGTACGTTTGAATGGAAAATGGACTTTGTTCTCCAGCCTTTTTCAACACTTTTGTTTTGTGGAATCGGGCGTGAAGACAATACAATGCAATACAAATCTACATTAGTAGAGTGCCTTTGATGTTGGGAGGACATCCCAAAGCATCCTGTAAATGCCGCAGATTGGAATGCAAACCACTCAGCTGTTGAGCGCTCCGAGACTCTACCCGAGTGAAGGGCAACGTGTTGCTGTTGCAAAACAGAAGCTGAAATTTTGCGAATATGGTGAATTAGCCGCCAAGGTATCCAATATACACTTTGCAAATTTCAAGGCCTGATACTAGCTGAGCGGCTGCTCCTGATGGAGTTAAAACATATCATCGTAGATTCAGATGCAAAGAAGCTTCGAGGATATACGTAGTTGTAAATGAATCATAGAAATTTACAGCACAGAAGGAGGCCGTTTGATCCATCGATGTGTATCAGACAATGGTAAAATCATTCTTAGTAACAAAGAAATAGGCCATTATTGTGTAACTACGGTTTATAGGCTTGAGGTCTCAACCAGCTTGTGATCTGCCATGGCACCTTTAATAGGCTGTCCTGAGTAGCATAAGTAACTACAGCTGACAAGTTGGTGGTTTGTGGTTCTAGATTGCCCTGAGGTACTGAATGAGCAATTGAAGTAGGCAGATTTATAGCAGACATTATGCCAGTGGGGAAGCAGTTGATTATAGGGGTTTAATTACAGCCTTGCCACTCAGCATGTCACGCAGAGCTACAGAAACTGCCAAGACTCTCAAGGGCCTATTCTGCAGCCAGAATTAAAACAAGTCTTCTACTTAATGTCCTAATCTGAACCACTGAGCGGGAGAGCAAAAACTCCACTGCAGATGGCAAGATGCCTCTTTAAACATTGAATGGGTAGGTACCAATAGAGAGATTCTGTGGTCTTTTTGGTTGTTTGGAGAACAATAACTCAAGCTTCGCGTTCGTCCGAAGACTAAGAATTTCGTGACACCTTTTACATTTTTTAAGAGAGAAACTAAATTAAATCTTTGGCTGCTGGCAATGGAGCCCTTTATTGATGTTCCAATGCAAACAACTCTTGCTGTCAGAGCTAATGTATCCCTCATTAATCATGTCAAAACTATTTACCCACTCGTACACGTACACACACATATTTATACATATATATATACACACACACATTCAGACACATGCGTTATAACAACAACAAACTTACATGTGTAAAGCGCCTTTCATGTCGGGAGGACATCCCAAGACCCTGAACAGTCAGTATTTCAGACCCCAGCGGTGGTGGCGGAGGGGATCGGGATGGGGGGGGGTAGATATGTGTGTATATGAGTACATACACACACACATACACATCCACACATACATACACGTACATGCACACACACACACACATCCAATCCACGTACACACATATTTGCACACTCATGCATACATACACACTCACACCTGTATAGTCCTTTTGCTCCAATACACAACAGCTGAATTTAAACAAATTCCTCTGGTTGTCCTGGGGAAGAATTCCCCCAAATGACATAACGTATGATGTTTCCTCTCTCTCTCTCCCCTCGCCACCTCCCTACCCCGTCACAATTATACCCTATAACAGACTGAGTTACATACACACACAAAATGCAAATGACGTCCTTCCCTATCCGGCAACAAACCAAAGTCAGTATTTCACAGTTTTCATATTTATGCGTAGCTCACTTCATCCAAGATAATAATAATAATCATAATAATAATCCTTGCTGATCACATTGTCAAGACGTCGTGAAGCTCTTCACATGGTATACTGTAAAGCGTAGAGGCTATGTGCTTTATCGGCGATAAGAGATATCAGGGACAGCGAGACACCACCTGAATGTGTGAACAAAATCACGGCCATTTCACAATACAAGTCTGAAAGGTGAAACCAGGAGCCAGGTCACTTTGCCTGATTTCTAGGCTTGACTTTTGTAAAAGTGGCTTTGCTACAAAACTCACCAAATTTCGGAAGCTGTGCTCCAAAGGTTTCTGGGCCATTAGCCCTTTAGCGCCTTTCCACGTATCAGATTTCCTCATAGAGGCCGTCTGAGGACAGGGGGAGTGTGAAATGACTGATGCACCACTCTACTCTGCGGCACTTCCCTGTGCTCCCAAATTGTGACTTTAGGCAGTCTTTGGGTGCATGCAGAGCGATACTCTGATAACCCGCCCCTGGGATAAGTAGTCGACCTCACATTACTTGTCACTCACTCAATATCTTGGCTGTTTCCCCATACATTTTTTTTAAAATTATGATCCTCTGATAACTAGTCACCCTGGATATCTCATAACTAGTCAGGATTTCACACATTTGAGACGGTGCTTCCATGTTACATACCTCTGAAACTCATGATTTTATTTACCCTTCAAATTGCTAAACAATTCAGGAATTAAAAAGGCGCGAAAACGGATTAGTGTCAGGCTGGTTGGGTACTGTACTTCCCCATCTTCCTCCTTCCGCTAACTTCATCTCCCCACGCAGTCTGGCGTGAGGGTAACAGATTCCCTTTCCTGTCACCTAGCTTGAGCTGTGTTTGTGGAGTCCTGTAGCTCAGTGGTTAGAGCACTCGCTTTGCAAGTGAGAGACCTGAGTTCAATTCCAGGCAGAGGGCGAAACATTGGGCAAGTTTCCTTACTCCACACAGAGCCTAATAATAATCCCTCCAAAACAAAACAATAATAAATTGGTCATTTTCAATCTACGACTGTTTGTGGGACATTGCTGTGCGCAATTGGCTGCCGCGTTCGCCCACAAATATACAGTCAATTCACTTTATAGTGTGTTCTGTGAAGCGCTTTGGGATGTCCTCCCGACGTGAAAAGCGCTATATCAAATGCAAGGATTATTATTATTATTATTATTATTGTGAGTTTTGTACTTCTGATCAGTTACAGAATTCTAATCAGCTAACATTCCTGTGTCTGTGGTCATTTTTGCTCTGCGCTGTGTTATCAGTTTGCTTGCAGTTCGTGTATCCATGCAGTGACAGGTTTA